CTTCTCACACCATGCCATCAGCAGAGACCATTTGTTCTATGATTTATTTTAAGACGGTGTCATACAACGACTGCAATTTCCAGGTGTGTTGGTCATTATTTAGTCCTGGTTCTTTTCAAGCACCAGTTTAGCCCTGCCAGTGTGAGAGTAAAACTGGCCTCCATCCTCTTATTTCTGACCCAGTTCTGTTTATCATAAAACTTTATGACCAATCTCAGGAGGGTGAGGGAGAGAGAGGGAGAGGAATGAATGAGTGAGGAGAGAGAGAAAAAATAGCCTGTTTTGTCTTACTGGAGGAACTGTTGGGGATAGCACTTCTCCTTTTCTTCTCTGTTTCTCTCTCTCAGTTTAGGTTTTGTAGTCAGATCTACTACACTGGCAGAAACGATCTATGTTGTGAGAGCATCTGCAGAAATATTGAAAGTTATAGATTCTACTATAATGCTAGTATTAGCTGCAAATTCAGTATTTTAACTGAATTTAACAAGGACAGACTTTACTTGTATGCCCCTTCTGTTTTATTGCTTTATATATTTGACAGTGCAGAGAGGAGAGCAACAGGAAAGACTGGAGAGGAAGGAGATGGCAGGTGTCGCAGTTTGTGAGTCACCCTGAAATCTGTAGTTAATTCATCATGCTATAACTCAGGATTGAATTCAGTCCTTAACAAATGAGAGCAGTTCTCTGAGGAAAATGGATTATCATACGTGTTTGGTTATTTTATTTTAATGAAAAAAACGTATATACATTTCTTCAAAAGTATTCAGAGATAATAAATAATGACAAAGATAAGGCAGGATAAGCTAATTTGTAATTGTTAAATCTTTTAACTGTGGCCTGCAGCCCGCTGCTGGTGTTTAATGTTAGCCTTTGACCATCCATGCCACAGTGCTAAAGCTCTACTGATAGCCTCATTTGTTTGTAGATGCACTGAGCAACGCAGCCTGAGCATTACTTGCATAGATCCGTCAATGATCAGCATGTTTTGTCGTTAAGATAATTAGGGCAATTAGTGCTCAAAAACCTTCCAATGCGCTCCTCACTCTACTGATTCAGTTGAAAGGAAAATGGATTAAAAGTGTAATTAACATCATCCAACGAGGCCCTGAAGAGCTTTTCATAAGACAGTGCAGAGGGATATGAGCGTTAATCTCATTCGCTCTATTGATTCTCACTCAGTATTGAGTGGAATGAAGTGGCTGAGGGGCATATTAGCAAAACACTGACAGTCATTCACTATGTAAATACAGAATCATGAAGTGAATACATAATCACAAGTGATTGTGCCTCACTGAGAAACCAGTTTGAAGCTTATTCAGTTTTGGAACGCATGCAAGAATTCATGGTAAAAAGAGTTTAGATTTTAAAACTTAAAGATTGCACTAGAAAAACCCTGGAAAACCACCTACATTTTTACATTTTCACTTCTGATCCATTTTACATCTGAATACATGCTTCCCACTGAGACTTTAGAATAATAAAACACCCAAAAAGTCATTCTGTAGATGCAATGTTTACACCTGACATTGATGATACCTCCTTTATGAGATACCAGAGTGTTTCTGCTTCTTCATAAGGTCACTTTCCCACAGCTGACTCAATCTAACATGAACAGAACCATGTTGGCTTCCTTACATGTTCATCCAATTTGCTGGAAGCAGCTGCACATTGTGTGCTCATACTCTTTATTGCTATCTAAGTCACGAAACGCTTTTGTTCAGAAGCCAAGTGATGGTGACTGCCAAACATACTGTACATGTTGCATGACCCTGATAGCTACAGGGAGGTTACAACACATGTGGACATGCACCATTGCTGTTACGCCACTGCTGAGCAAGCACAAGTAAACAAGGTAGTGGGCATTCTTCTTAAATTTTATGATACTTTGTGATTTATTTGGTTAGAAATAAATAATATTGGGATTTCTCAATCATTTTTTGAAATGTATTGTTGTATCTGATGTAAACCTTAGTTGTAGGACTGAGGCCTCTTTCTTTTCCATGGTTTTGAAATTTCAAGTTTCACCCAGACTGAGAGTTCATTGTGGCAGGACAGCGTCAGTGAATGACATACCTGTCGAATGAGCTGTGTGTGAGCGAGGAGTCGGCCAACAGGGTGTGACCACAGGAAAATGTGACTGTGTTTACCCTGCTAATGACTAATGGTGTCAAGGTAACAAAGTAGTACGATTATAGCCCCTGATCCTCTCGTGGTTATAACCTTTGACACTGAAAGTAAGTGAGAGAGAGAAAGAGATAAGTAGCGACTCAAAACATGAACAGACATAGGGAGAAATAAGGTTTTTCTGTGTGTTTCTGTTTGCGTAAAGAATAAGAAATGGCCTTGATGCTGTGGCTGCTGCTTTCTACAGTGTGAACTCAGACACCCTGGCTATCTTATCTACAGAATAACCTGTTATTTTAAGCCACTGTGCGTGTGTGTGTGTGTGTGTGTGTGTGTGTGTGTGTGAGCATATGTGCGTGTGTGTGTATTAGCATGTCCATAACAAGCTAAGGATGACCCCTAGGATCAAACACAGTGTGAGTCTCTGCCTGTTTGTTTATGTGTGTTTATCTGTGGTGACCCTCGGGGAAGGGGTGGAGCATTTGGGGGAATTTCCCTCATATTCGTAATCACCCTCCTGTGCCCGCTCATGCACTTACACCAACCTAAAATACATCTTCTTGTGTAGGGAGTACAGAGAAACAGAGCTACAAATGTTTATTGATCCCTATAAGAGAGAGGTCAAAGGTCAGACTCCGAGCCAGAGGGGTTCTTGCTGATGATCTCAGCGAAGTCTTCAGTCTTCCTCACTAAGTGTTTCTTAATTATCTCCCATTATTTGTAAAACATACAAAAATTATAGACTTATAGTTGCATTTTACCTTGAACTTGTACTCTTGTATTTATGAACAAAGTGGTTTTGACAGCGTCCATTAATTTTTATGTTCCGAGACCTCAGTCCACGCCCTAGTAGCTTTCCAAAGAGCCTCCCTCCTCAGTCTCGGTATCAGTGTCTCAGAGCGGAATCCCTGCAGACTCACATGTCTGTTTGAACTGCTGTCTGACTGTTTCTAAATCACAATATTTTTGTGGCCTTACAGAGGTGACAGATACAGGAAAGAGTGTGTCTGTTTGTGTATGTGTGCATGTATGCTTTATGAAGGTCCATGAATGTTCGCTCGTGTGTGTGTGTCTGTGGTGTAGACAGAGGTTAGAGTAGGGTCTGTCAGGGGATTAAAGCTCCTGTTGAGACCCTCACAGTTCAGTTCCCTTTATTCTTTCTTGGAAACAATGCGGATGCAGCACTGCTGCTGCTGACCAGCACTGCGTTTCTCTTCAGCCAGACAACGAAACAGCAAAAAGTTGGCAGCCTTGTCCGTACAGATGAAAACAAGAAAGTTTTTTTGGATTAAATTTGGTGTTTAATGTGTCTCTCCTGGTCTGAATAACTGTAATGACTCTGATTTAGCCCTTTAGTGGGAGTTGGACTTACACTGCCTCCCACTATCCCACTGACTTTCTTGGCAGTTTAAATAGTTTTAATGCCTGAATTTAAATCATACTTTTATGCTGCCACAAAACTACATCATTTACTATGCACCAATCACTGCTCAGTTATTTACATGCTAGAGCTTTGCTTTGGCCAGACTGGCTCCCTTTACCCCAGTGACTCTCAATCTATGAACTTCCTGTGCTTCAGTGCATCACAAAAAAAATCAGTAGTGTCATATTTAGTATTATATCATTTGCCAGAAGCTAGAACAATGACATGAACAATTATAGAATAGTGGACAGAATACATCATGATCTTTATTGTGACCAAGATATTTATCATAAGCCTCTGTGGAGCCAAAGTGGCTCAAGTGTTCTCGTGGTGCTAGCCAGGAATTCCCTCCATAAGCGGTGTACCTGTGACCCATGCCTTCCCAGAAGCCCCCTTCCGCCTTCCTATTGCATTTCTAATAAATTCCCCCATCATCATTGTCACGTCTATGCAGCAGAGGAAGGTAATATGTTAAACCTCCAAAGCATGCCAAAAATAACGCCATGTCTGATTGTTTCACAGAGAAAGGCTATTGTGTGTCCATGGGAAGCACCACAATCCCAGGGTCTTTCAGCTGATTCTTTAAAATGACTGCCCTCCTCCAAACACACACACATGTTTAGCCGGGGCATGCTTTCATAATCTGTATGTCTTGCGAACTAAATTAAATTTGTGCTGTGGCTTCTTATGTAGAAAATGCTGATGTTTTGAAAACGAGTAGGTATCGGGGAGTTGAGCTGTATTAAATGAGCACCTAGATGTGGTGTTAGTTCTTAATTGATCTCAATGTTGATTTCATCCATCACTGAAATACTCAATTAACAGAATGCATTTTTTAACAGCTTGCTTGTTTTTGCAGTTTATCACTGTTTGCTCCCCACACATTTCTTGGCTACTTCCTCCCCACTATGAGCATTACTGGAGAGACCAGTTTGCATATGTGTGTGTACAGTATTTATGAGACAGTATATTTATTCTACACTATGGTTGTTTCCATGAAGATGGATGTCTTACATGATGATTAATAACAAGTTAATGAATGTGTGTATTTTCATGTGTATGTCTCCTCTGTCTGTGCGGTGGTGGTGGTGCAAGTATAACAATCATGTTTGCGCAGCCGATTTGCATGTGTGTGTGTATTCATATGGTATGAAGAGCTACCCCAAGTGACCTCTGCTGGTTTAGAAAATTGTAACTTAGCCCACATTGCAATACAGTTCTGGACAATGTGAAAAAAATGCAGTCAAAACAAAAACAGCTGGAACATCTTTACAGGACACCAAAAATGGCAAATTCAGCACAGAAAAATGTGTTGATCTGCACACTTGTTGTTTGACTTTTGTAATTAAACTGAAATATTAAATATAAAAGCAAAACTAAAACAATTAAACCCTGTGTGTGTGTGTGTGTGTGTGTGTTGCAGATCTTCTACAAAGTCACCAGAGAGATTTTCCCCGGTGAGGAGCTGCTACTTTTCATGAAGGCTGAAGAGTATTCATGTGACACCATGGCTCCTGATATTCATGGTCCGTACCACACGCACGCACACGCACACGCACACGCACACGCACACGCACACACACACACACACACACAAATATATATTTCTATTCACTGTTGAAATCTGAGCCACAAATACACCTCACTTCATTACACAGAATGCTCATTTTTCTCCCTGTCACCCTGCAGAGGAGAGGCAGTACCGCTGTGAGGACTGTGACCAGCACTTTGAGTCCCGCAACCAGCTGCTGGATCACCAGAAGCAGCCATGTGGGATGCCCCCCTCCTCTTTCCTTAACCCAGGTTTGACTTTTATTTTTTTATTAGGTGGGCTATTTTCTGAAATTGAGATGACAATAATCCAGTGTGGAAAGAGAGACTGAGAGAGACTGCAAGAGTCAAGTTTATGCAAGCTGAGAGTAACAGAGGATGGCATTTTTCAACCAACAGAGTAGTGGTAGAACATGTATATAAAATACATCTTATACAAGGTAAACCTAACGACCATACCGTTTGATATTTTTTTGCATGGTCTTGTAGAGTACATTTAAACAGTCTTCTTTTCTTGCTTCATTTTTTTCTGGTGTATCTAGGTGGGGACAGTGACCTAAAGGCCCAGGAACCTCAAGACTTGCGACCCCTCCACATGTCCCATGGTCTACACGAGTGTAAGGAGTGTGACCAGGTCTTTCCTGACGTCCAGAGGTGGGTGAAAAGCTGGCACACTCAGTCACATCATTTTATTTGGGAGATTTTTGCTGACGTTCATCTCCATAGATGAATGCAGAGAGCTGGTGCTGTCCAACAGCCACATTATATAAAATACATTTCTCCATGAACAGATAAACCCTCATTGTTGTTGTATTTTCTGTGTTTCCTGCAGCCTGGAGGCCCATGTTCTCTCCCACTCTGAGGAGAGGGAATATAAGTGTGACCAGTGCCCCAAGGCCTTCAACTGGAAATCAAACCTGATCCGACATCAGATGTCACATGACAGTGGCAAGCACTACGAATGTGAAAACTGCTCAAAGGTAAAGTGATGACTTTTGAAGGTGCTATTTAATCAATGAGCATTTTTATTTTTCTGTATGTTCGTCTAGAGCTGTTCTTTTTTTTTTTTTTTTATTGCAGGTGTTTATTCTTTCCATGTTTGAAGAAGCAGATACTAACTCCCCCGTGTGTCTGTGTGGTTCCTTCCCCCAGCAGGTGTTCACAGACCCCAGTAACCTGCAGAGGCACATCCGCTCACAGCACGTCGGGGCACGGGCCCACGCCTGCTCCGACTGCGGCAAGACGTTCGCTACGTCTTCGGGCCTCAAGCAGCATAAGCACATCCACAGCAGTGTCAAGCCCTTCATGTGTAAGTCACTAAGACCCTACCTATGTAAGTCTCCTCAGTACGTTATAACAATAATAATAATAATAATAATAACAATATGCTTGTGACTTGCCTTTAATAGAACAACTGTTATGTTTTTGCAAAAATACATTGTTATCCTCCCTCAGCTAACCCTCAGGAGTCAGTCATCTAATGTTCTACAGGAATTACACATGGGATTACATAGTAGCTGTGTTTAGAGTGGCAGCACCATTTCTTTTAAAACAAGAGTCATCCAGTTATATTTGCATCAGCACTCTCACACAGTGCTGATATGGTGATAGCAGCATTTAAACGAGCTTGTAATTTGACTCAGTCCCACTTGGTCTAACCTCACCGTTGCCTCTCACAGTGACCGAGCCTGACTGACTGTTGACACTACAGCTAACAGACGTTTTCTTTCTCTTTCACACACACACACACACACTTCTGGTCTCTGCGCCTCAGTAAACGCTAACTCCTGCAAGACCCAAACACATTTTGACCTTTCACACTTTCACCACCTCACACCACAGATCTCATCTCCTTCCCCTAAAGCATTATGACCTTCACCCTTTGCCCCTACTTTCTTTCCCTGACCCGGCACACCAGCACACACACATGCAAGCTCGCGGAAACCTGCCCTCACATGGAATACACACACTCCCCTTCTCCTCAAACAAAGACACACATACACATATACATGCATATACATAGGTCGTAGTGACTGCATCTCCACTGGAGACCTCTGACTCCCCTCTCTCTCTCTCTCTTCTCTCCCTCCGCCACATCCACCATTCCTCACAAATAGCAACCACATGTACAGCCCTCTTCCTTGTGCTCCCTCTGAATAGGAGTCCATTTGCTGTAATCAGCAGAAAATATGCAGGTTTAAAAACAACTAATGCGCTATGTAAAAAAGACAGGCAGCTTACAACATGACGGCTGCCTGCAAGAAACCATGTGTGTGTCCAAAGCATTTGTTTATGCAAGTGGTCTTGAAGGGCATGTATGTGTTTTGGACAGTATTGTACTCTATGCACATGTGATTCTGTTTGTATGTTAGTGCACGCAATGTGTCAAGGTTGTGTGTGTATGTGTCTCAGAGCTTCTCTATGAAAGCAGAGCACCAAGGCATGCTGGGTTATTAATTCAGACACTCAGCTAGCCACTACTCAGCCACCGCTCTACTCTCAGGAATGTGTTTATAATATTTTGTTTCAGTTTATTAAGAGCTGACGAATACACGCGTGTAGTGAATCAGGTCTCACACTCAGTGTGTCATGCGTGTGTGTTGTTAGTCTGTAAATGTCACAACTACATGATTTATGGTGTCGAGCTCTTTCTTGTAGTTTCCTCAGGCCATGTGGCTATACTTGTAAAAACATACACAAAAAGAGGGCAATAGAAGCAGCTACACCCCCATCACACACTGAGTGGACAGATTTTAATAATAGCTTATATTCTATTAGCAATTGTTAATTCTTTGTGTTGATGATACAGCTTTTCACTATAAGTCCAGTTAGATTCATTTTAATCAGTTAAAAAAATATCCACACATAGTATCCAGATTTCTTCATCTGTGTTGCAAGACAGATGCGCAGCTTCCAATGAAGAAACATCATGTGCAAAATCAAAGGAATCAGGCTATTTTTTTTTTTTCCAGATGTTTTCAAAATGTTTTCAACTACCGTTCTGCAGAGATTGTGTCCACAAAAGCCAAGCCACAAATACTCTTTATTTCAACTCAGTTTTCTGGGTCTATTCATTAAAATTTACTTTTTTATAAGATTACATTCACTCTTGGCTCGAACATTCCCATTTGTCTTTCCTCTGGGGTGTTTATTTAAATCTGTTTCCACAATACTTTTTTCCCGCTCTTCCTCTCCATCTCCTTAAATTGCCTCTTGTGCACCTTAAAGTTGGAAGGCATCCAAAGTATGCAGAAGTGTAATCACAGTGTGAGCCTAACCACTTCCTTATCCTCATTTTGAAGATCTAATAACAATGTGAGCAGAATCAATCATTCGGAGATTCTTCTAACTGCTTTCTGAAATTGTCGGTTGATGTCTTGTTGAAATGTCATCTGTAGTGTAGCTGAAATGCAAAATATCCTATAGTGTGGAGGAGGGGGGCAACAAAGAGGGGCATCTTCCCTTTTTCATAAACTGCATTCTTGACTTTTATTAGAACAGAAAGAGAAAAGAGCATGGGAAAACAATAAGTACTTGGCTACCACCCCCCTTTGTAAATTTGAACAAGTCATCCTTTAGTATTAGATAATGTTGACAGATTAATAATGGCGACAGATAATGTCAGATGGTGAGGTTTTGTTTTGTGGCTGGGTGTCTCCCAGGGTCAGACAGAGTGACAGACGGGTATACAGGGGTTGACTGTGGGAAGGTCACAGGATGACAGGGACCCAGCTATGGGGACCAGGTGAAGGGGGCTGAGGGGGAAGAGGGAAGAGGGGCAGTAGAGGACGTGAGACCTGTCCCTGGGAACCGGACTGCAGGATAGGATTCATTCAACTCCGCTTCCTTCACAAACTTAAAATAGAGCCATTGTACTGCATGCGGCTGAGAATGTGTGTGTGTGTATCAGTATGTCAGCATGCGTGTGTGTGTGTGTGATTCATTTTCTCTGTGTTATGTGGATATTTTGTGAGTGTTCCTGCATGTCTATGTGTGTGTCTGCGTGTGATTGTTTATGGACTCCCTGGAAGCGTCCCTGGGAGGACAATGGGCCTGGAGATGCCTGGGAATTTAGTTTGATGTGCAGGTGATGAGTGGCAGCAACTGACTCACACCATCAACAGAACAGATTCACTTACAATACCAGGATCTGGACACACCTCTCCTCCTTATTTTGCTGGAAAACTATTGTCAAAGTATTGATGGGAACACAAGCATATCATTCATATTGTATTTCCTCTGCCTTAGCTTCAGTCAGCCTGAAGCATGTTAACAAGGGATGTCATATCATGTGGTGTTATTTTGTGTGCTTGTGTGTGTGTGTGTGTGTGTATGTGTGTGTCGGCGTGTGTTGCATACTGATACGTTCTGTATCTGTCTCCATGTCCCTGCAGGCGAGGTATGCCACAAGTCCTACACCCAGTTTTCTAACCTGTGTCGCCACAAACGCATGCATGCTGACTGCCGCACACAGATCAAGTGCAAGGACTGTGGGCAGATGTTCAGCACCACGTCCTCCCTCAACAAGCACCGGCGCTTCTGTGAAGGAAAGAACCATTTCACAGCAGGGGGCTTGTTTGCCCAGGGTATGCCACTCCCTGGGGCCCCTGGCTTGGACAAATCAGCTCTGGCGATGGGCCACAGCAGTGCTGGACTGGCTGATTACTTTGGGGCCAGTCGCCACCATGGCGGGCTTACCTTCCCTGCTGCCCCAGCATTTCCTTTCAGCTTCCCTGGCCTCTTCCCCTCTGGACTCTACCACCGGCCACCGCTCATTCCTGCCACCACCTCTCCCGTCAGACAACCGTCCCATGCACCCATTACCGGGCCTGGTGCAGAGCTAAGTAAGAGTCCCCTGCTGCCTCCGAGCCCTGGCACTCAGGAGACCCGAGAGCTCCTCAAAGCTCTCCGTAAAGATGGCGGTTCACCTGGCAGTCAGATGCCAAGCTCAGAGCTCCACACTCAGAGCTCCTCATCTTCCACAAAGCAGCGAAACAAGCAGAGTGACCAGTCTGAGAGCAGCGACCTGGATGATGTCAGCACGCCCAGCGGCAGCGATCTGGAGAGCACATCAGGCTCCGAGCTGGAGAGCGACATGGACAGTGAGAGGGAGAGGGGGGCTGCTCGAGAAAATGGCAAAGGCCCCAAGAGGAAGGCCAGTGAGGGAGGCCCCCAGAGCCCCAGCCTGACGGGCAGCAGTGCTGCTAAAGACTTTCCAGGCCCTTCCCTCATCCCATCCTCGCTGGACGAGCACACAGCTGTAACAGGGGCTGTGAATGACTCTATTAAGGCCATTGCCTCCATTGCTGAGAAGTACTTTGGCTCCACAGGGCTGGCTGGCCTACAGGACAAGAAGGTCGGGTCTCTGCCCTATCCCTCCATGTTCCCACTGCCTTTCTTCCCAGCTTTCTCTCCTCCAGTTTACCCTTTCCCAGACAGGGACCTTAGACCTCCAGGCCTGAAGGGCGAGCCACAGTCTCCGGCAGATGACGGTAAGAAGGCCCAGGGAAAATCTTCAGCCGAGTCACCATTTGACCTCACTACCAAGCGAAAGGAGGAAAAGTCAGCCCCATTCACTCCCTCCAAACCAGAGGCCTCCCACTCTGTTGGTCAGGATCAGCCGCTAGACCTGAGCCTCGGCACCAGGGGACGTGGACGCCATCCAAGAGAGGAGGAGACAAAGAAGAACCTGAATTATGAAGAGGAGAAGGGAGTGGTGGAGATCCCAAAGGCAGACACCTCCTTACAGCATGCCAGGCCCACCCCTTTCTTCATGGACCCTATCTACAGGTATTGTTATTCCCAGTAGCTTCATTCAGGTCACTACTGTAGTTTTACATAATGTGTGAACATTTCAACAAACTACTCATCTGGTGTAATTTACTATCATGTGTTTGCTGATTGTAATTTATTGTAATACTGGATATGTGTACCAATATTTTCTGCTGTGCATGCGTTAAGAGCTGATAGAAATCTACTATTAGCAGGGTTGAGAAGAGGAGAATGAGCGATCCGTTTGAGACTCTGAAAGACAAGTACATGCGGCCAGCTCCAGGCTTCCTCTTCCATCCACAGGTAGGTTCTGATTGTGACATCCGCGGGAACTGGGACAACTTGGGGCCTTTACAGGAAATGCAATAAAGTGGCAACTGCACACTATCCTCTGGCACTCACCTATCCTCTGGTTTCTGTTTATTTAGCTTTAAAGTTGATCTAAGATGCCTATATTGACGCTAGACTGATTAATTAGACAGCAACAGTCCTAATTGTATGGGTAGTTCTTGGTTAGTCCTGCCCATTTGAGTTCACAATGGCTGTGACTTGATGATCCGTGTCATCTTACCATGACAACATCATTGTTACAAATTCACTGTTAGCTTTCTATAGTTACAGATGTAACAGCAGCATTAAATCAGTCAAGATATATTATCATTCCTTCTATGAGGAGTTGTGGAGGCTGACCAATCTGGATTAATGAGGATTACTATATGGCTCCAGCCTTATCCAAGCTACTGCCTGTTAAGACCATTGTTGGCTATCTGAAACAGATGTGGCAGAAAGAAAGGGCACCCTGTGACACGTCTTCCCATAACGTGTCTTTGATTACAATATAAAAAACGATACGCTCTTAAAGCAATGATTTCTGCCCCTGGGTTCTCTGTGCCAGTATTTCCAGTGTGAGACTCATGTACATGCGTGCATGTGTGTCTATGACATGTTGCATTGACGTTCATTTGTTCAATCTTCCCCTGCGGGTGAGAATGGTCCGTCGGAAAGTGAAAACACCACTTTCTCAGGCATATGATTTTTTTTCCTCTTTTCTGGCCGTTTCAGGTCTGGTTTTTACAGGCTGTTTCATTTGTCTGATTTATGTCCCCTGTCCAGACTGCTGCATGGGCCCAGGCTGCAGCAGCCACATGGCCGTCCAACACGCCTTAATGAGGTGTCCTATCAGTAGAAACACTAACAGAGTGCTTAGACCATCTTTATGACTTTATGATGTCTGGACACACAAATCATTCCCAGAAACACCAGACCTGGGTAGGTCTAAGCCAGACCAGGAAAGGGGCCCTTCTGTATACTTTTGAGGGGGTTTGTTTTCAGTCACCTGACTCACTATTGAGCCATATATCAAAAAAAGAGGTTGCAAAGCTGAGGGGACTGGAACTTTTTTTCAACCTTTAGTGATTCAGCTTTTTATTTCCTGGCAGGAAATTTTACTGCTAAGCAATACTGGCTTAGATTACATACTGGAATTGTATTTGTAGCCTGCTATAATGAGCTTATTGAACACCAGGAAGTGTTGGGAACTATTAGAGCCTCCTATAATTCCAGCGCCATAACTCTGCAGATAGGCAGCTCATTGCTCATTCAAAGTTAATCACGGCGAGACCCATCATCCCGTCCGTACCCATATGTAACCAATCAAAAGCTGTTGATTCATGCGCCACTTCCTGGTTCTGACTGCTTTCTCTTTTCCTTCTGTTCCGCCCCTCAGTTTCGTTTGCCAGATCAGAGAACTTGGGTAAGTTCCTCTTTAACCTACAGTACCGCCATGTGTCTGTACCTCTACCAAACAGACCCCATCCCCTAATTAATGAATGGGCTGCATAACAGTTTACGACTGACATCACCCAGCATTCGCATGGCTTCAGCCAATCACCATCACTGACTGGACTAGTGTCCGTTTCTGTGTTATTTGTAAGAAATATCATCTGAATGTTTACATTGAACATCATATAGTATATTGTAGTGATAAAGTATTTAAGCCTTGCTTTTTGCTTTGTTTACATCCTTACATCTCGACATATCCCGTCCGATTCACATAAAAGGGTTTAAGCGGGGATTTCCAGCCGAGTTACACCCTGTCCATCCACCAGCTCTGAATATATGTTTGCTTATTTGGAGAATGAAGTACGGCTCTTGCAAATGGGCATGGGGGAGATGAGTGGAAGGTGGGGTGGAGGGTGGTGTATAGGGGGGGCTGCTTTACATCAGCGCAAGGGTAACAGTCTCTTTGGGACACTGGCGGGGAGGGGGTTGGTGCAGGGGGTTAGTTCCTCCCTCCAAACATCTGGTTCCCGATTAAGATCAACAATTGAGAATGCATCTCACTAATTAAGGCCCTCACAGCATCACTGACATCTGAAGATAGCCAATCAACTGCTGGTCCCAGAGCGACGCTACAGCAACAAGCAAGTTCACAGACACTCACACACACTGCCCGGGGGGGAAGGATAAGGGGGTTTCGGGAGTTGTGTGTGTTTGGATGTGCTTGTGTGTGTGTGTGTGGGTGGGTTTTGGAGGGGGGTCTCTTATACAAAGGGGTGGGGGGGTGGTATAAAACCTTTGAAAAATCACTTTAGAGCAAAATGTGGAGCCGTTTATCCTCCTGTCCTTTAAGTCGAACATTTCACACACATGGTATTGTCAGACAGTGGCCTAATGAACCTGACTCACCATCCATAAAAACGGCTCAATGGCTGAAGGTTTTTGAAGTGTAATCTGTGGCAGATTTATGGTTACTAGTTTAAATCATTATTAATATATCTAATCCATTGGATTTGATATGTGAACCATTTACTGCTTGACTGCAAACAAAGCATTTGACTGGTTTAGAGAAACTGCCAAAACACTGTTGATTGTTTCTGGAACATTTTAACTTTTAACAAAATGTGATGCTACATAATAATAGAATGTAAAACATTTTATCTTCTTATACCAACATGGACAAAGCAGTGGGTTCAAAAATGGTTCCAACCTGGATAAAAAATATATATATCAGTTTTATTTTATATCACATACAAAGTTCAGTTGTTTGCTTTTTAAGAAAACATATTAACTCTTGCATTTGCCAAAGCATGGTAACAATGTTAAGTGCACAGTAGTATTAGTAGTAGTATTCTGCTACATACAGCCAGACAAATACCAATATTTTGGAACTATGCCTTTACTTTAAAGGATACAGAGGCAAAGGCAGACCAGAAGTGTGAGATTAAACTCTTAATAGAGTGCAGCAGCATGAGTGGGTTGAGGTGGGCTCAGAATTCCCCAGTAGATGGAGCAGAGATGAAGTACTTTCAGCTCTAAAAAGTGTCTTATCGGACAGGCTCGATACTGCTGACAGCTTTAGGGGCCCTAATGTTCCCGAGAGTTATAGGTTCTCATTGAGCAAGGCAGACAAACTGAGTATTCACTCAAGTGCCTGAAAAGAGCCCAATGAAATACACAGCGCACATTCAAAAGAAATATGAAAGCATTTCACCTCCCTCTTCCCCACAACCCCTTGCCTATCTTTCAATTCATTCCCCTCCTTCTTTCTCTCGCTCTGTTCTCTCCCCTCTGTCTCTCTCCCTCGCCTTTGATTCATGGCATGCAGCATTGGCATATTCATAATCAAACGGACCTGACACTCCACATCCTCCCTCAGTGGGAACGTCGACGGCTGCGGCAGGAACTTTACACTCGGCCGTCACTCCTAATCAGCCGCTCCCAACACCAGGTTCCACCACCATCCATCAGCCACTCTCTCCAGACTCTTTTTTTTTTCTTTCGTACGTTCTTTCTTTCTTTCTTTCTTTCTTTTTCTTCTTCTTTCCTCCCACTCTTCTCCCCTATCATCTAGTCCTTCATCATGCTTCCTCCCCGATTCGCTTCCTCTCTTTCTTTCCCCTCAGTCTGCTCCATCTTGGCGTGAAGCCTGAGAGTGACAGGGGGTGAAAGCAGGAGATGGAATGTCAGAGTCGGAGCAGGGCTCTGGTGGAGGACCCGAATCACCATTGATTTGTTGCCTTATTGAAATAAGAATAAGAAACAGGCTGAAAATTCAATACACGCAAAATAATGCAAATTTGTGTGGCCCCTTTAAAAACTGAAGGAAAAAAGGTGTGTGTGTGTGTGTGTGTGTGTGTGTGTGTGTGTGTGTGTGTGTGTGTTGATGTGTGTGTGTGTGTGTGTGGTGTGTGTGTGTGTGTGTGTGTGTGATGTGTGTGCGTGTGTGTGATATGTGTGAGATGGGCTGACAGGGCCCTGCGGCCTACTGGGACCCCCCTCACCCCCGCCCCTCGCTCTCCTCCTCCCTCTAGTCCTCCCTTCACTCCCCCTCCAGTCCCCACTCCTCCCCCATCCCGCCCCCCTCAGCACAGCGATATCATTATTACCCGTGTCTGGCCCTTGATCAGTAATGTCAACATCTTTCATATTGACGAATGTGCTGTCTACCCACATTGTGCACAGAATGGTTTACAGCCCAGCAGTGGACATGAATCACTCCTCTGCCACACACAAACACACACACACACACACACACACACACACACACACACACTCACACGGACATGTATCTGACACCACAGAGATACACACTAAGCATGTACAATCACGCTCACATACAATGCCCATGTCTGTAAGCGCACACATTCTGCACACACACACTCACATGTACACATGTATTACAAATACATTGTTCTCTCTCTCACATACACACACACACATCGATGGTAATTAATCAACTATGGCCACCATGCAGCATATAGTTTCTCATTCAAACACACACACACACACACACACACACTCACACATATATCTCCTCAGAGAGTATCTGATGAAAGCAAATGTTCATTAGTAGATTGGCTGCAGTCCTTAATCCTATATATGCGTGTGTGTGTCTTTGTGTGTGTTTATGTATCTACTATGCATGAATATGTGTGTTTGCACAAGAGCAAGTGTTGGAATGAAATACACATAAAAAGTTTCACACCTGTGTAAAGTTCTGAAGCAGTATCACATGTACTTGTCATACACATATACCAGGGATTTGACCTTGTTATGCATGAATCATTAATGAACGTCATAAAAAGAATTCACCCAATACCCGTTTCACCTCATTTCACCTGGTATGATGCCTGTAAACAAGGCTCGTCAATCAAACCAGATATGAACAGATCTGTGCAGAATGTATTAATTATATCTTCAGTAAGAGGCTGAACTGTAAATCAGGATCAAATCTATTTGTGGTTAATGTAAAGACATCCACAGCAAATGTAAAAATGTATGGTTGCTGTAATTCTTTCATTGTTTAGAACATGTGTCCCTACCAGTACATCAGCCTAAATTATACATTTTGCCTTTTGCATTTTACTGCAATCAGAAACTAAATCAGATGTACAGTGATATCTTGCAGCATAGCTCCGTGGCTACCTACAGTATCGAAGCTGTGAAAATAACCATTGAGTTATTTTCAACAAGTGAAAAGACAAGTGAACTCTCACAGCTTAAGATAATATCTTTCATTTCTGATTTAGATCAATTTGGTCCTTTTTTTTTTTTTTTTTTTTTTTACCACAGGTGACATGGTCATGATAAGTGATGCAGCTGTCAGAACTGATCAAACTCCATTTCAGCATCAGTTTCTTTGCTATGCATGTTGGACTTTGCAATGCTAAATGAGCATTCAGTATGTTTTTAAGCACAACACTAACCACTTCACTCTGTCTCTTCTGTCTCCTCAGATGTCGGCCATCGAGAACATGGCAGAGAAGCTGGAGACGTTTGGCTCCTTGAAACCGGAGTCTGGCGACCTGCTGCGCTCCGTCCCCTCCATGTTTGATTTCAGAGCCCCACCCTCTGCACTTCCAGAGACGCTGCTGCGCAAAGGCAAGGAGCGCTACACATGCAGGTAACTATAGCAGCTGATTTAGCATGTATTATTATTTTGATTTCTTTTAATGTATACATGCCATATATTTCTTTTTTTTCTAAATGCTTTAATGTTAGTCTTTTCTACAAGTGTTTTTGTGGTTATTTTATGTTTTATGTGGCCATGTGTTACTGAGGATGAGTTATTGAAAATTAGATAATACAGTTTTTTAGATAACAAAAGTAAATAGGTAAACCATAGTTTAAAATGTGTTTTTTATTCTATTACAGATATTGTGGGAAAATATTCCCGCGCTCTGCCAACCTGACCCGCCACCTCAGGACTCATACAGGAGAGCAACCATATAGGTAAGACTATTTCTACAAGTCTGAAGAGCCACATTCACACACACTGTCTCTTCTTGGAGCTTGATTTGTGTTGCTGAGCTGTTGCAAGGGAGAAGACATATGTCGGCTGAATATCATCCTCCTCTCTCGCCATTGTCAGCATCCCCTCATTTATCCTCCTCACTCCCAGGAATACACACAATACAATACTTTATAGGCACATTACTGTATAGTCAAGAATTCGATTTGCACAATAGCATTTTAACTCCCCCGTGAAGACCTGATTTTCTTTCCCGACAAATCTGAGCGAAAGCAGCAAATACATTTTCGAACAGTGTATTCTCAGGCAGACAGAAAGACAGAGAGGCTCAGCTCATTTGTAAACAGCACATGGATGTTTTCCCAGGGAACTCTACAGTTAGAACAGAGTTTATGTATGTTTTCTTATGCCGTAAAAGCCTGGAATAATTATCCTACTGCTAAATAATTTGCCTGATGAAAAATGTTGTCCGTCGCCTGGGTGACAGGACGGGGGTGGGGGGGTTGGGAGTTTGAAGCTGGGCTGTTAAAAGAGCAGAGCAGAGGGGAAGGGAGGAAGTTCGGAGGAAAATTGGGGAGATGAGGAGCGCGGGCAGATGTCCAGGCCCGGCAGCTGTGGTCATTTCTCTTGTGCGTTTGAGGCCAAGACTCGTAGTCATCTGCAAGCCCACTGGCTACTTGCCGCACCAAGTAAAGCTCTCTTGCCAACTAAAAAGGTTATCATAGAATCAGGTTTTTTTTTTTTTTTTCAGGAACCATAGTAATAATAATAGTAATCATAGCAATTTTGTTTTGTGTTAGGGAGACTTTGGAAATCGTTAACAAAGACTCCCTCTTCTCACATCAACACTGCAGAATTTTCCAGGTGCTGCTGAGGTAGAAGTAACAATGCAGCAGCAGTTCAGTGCACGTGTAAAAATTAATCTTGCACATTTATTACATTTGGATAATGAGCGAGCCCTGGCTAGCACCGCTCGCCTTTGTAGTTACTAAGGTAGAGGAATGTTGGCCCAAAGCTTGGAGGAGGCCTGCTGACCACAGGGGAGAGAGAAAGATAGACGCAGGCCTCTACTGCCCCAGCCTGATAGCCTGCACTCCACACGCTGGCATGCCATTAAAGATCACCGCTGTTTATTGTAATTTTTTGTGGAGATAACCAGGGGGCTCCTGAGGGACAGCCAATCGAGCGAGCTAATTCCACCAGAAGAAAAGATGTAATCTTCTTGTATAATTTTGCATGAAGAAACTTGGCAAGAGGCTCTAATTTTGCAGGGTTAGAACCAAATCTGTTGCGTGCTTATTTTGTGAGAGAAGAATGCAATTTTATTGCGCTGGCTGGAGATAAGAGGCAGAGCTGTTTCACCTTAAACAAGCTCCTCCATCATGTCTGGGACTGTGGGACTGCTGGGACTGTCTGTATGTGTGTGTGTGTGTGTGTGTGTGTCGGTGTGTCTGTGTGTGTGTACTACATTATGTATCTCATTATGGTTCCCACAGAACAAACCGTGGGTTCCTGATTCATTACGCAGTACAGTTGTACTTATGAATAGCAGCATCTGTGTTTTTCTGTTTTTGACATTTAATAATTGTTTGAGTGAAATGTCTCCACTTTTCCTGCAGGTGTAAATACTGCGACCGCTCCTTCAGCATCTCCTCCAACCTGCAACGTCACATCCGCAACATCCACAACAAGGAGAAGCCCTTCAAGTGCCACTTGTGTGACCGTTGCTTTGGTCAGCAGACCAACTTGGACCGTCACCTCAAGAAGCATGAGAATGGCAACCTGTCAGGTAAGAAGCAAAAAGTCAATATACGTTTCTGGTTTGTAGACTGTGGAAATGTTACATTTTCTGTCCTGTTTCGACTTTTTTTCCCCTGTATTTCATCAGAGAAAATGAGAGCTGGTTTGCTGATTTGTGAGATTTATAAATACTTCTGCTGATTAACAAAAATCATAATTTACTCATGATTGGAAACTATTTTAGAGGCTGAAAAATGAAATAATATAAATCTGTCATCTACCTCTGCAACAGCGCAAATATTTTTTGAATGAGCTGCTTTCATCAGCAGCACAGCTTATGGGTTTGATAGGTTGCATCAGCCTGACTCTGAATCAGCAGAACGAGCAGTGACACCTGGCCAGCAGCCGACAGCAACAAACAGCGTAGCCTTCAGCACATTCAGAGTGTGAACTGAGTCTCTGTGGATGACAGTGCACACACGGTATTTTGTGATAAAGACAACAGATTGAAAATGTTAAGCAGCAAAGGCTTTTTTTTCCCCCCACAGTTAAAATAATAAAACCACAGCCTCTTAAACCTCACAGACACTTTGGCAGCTCCATCATTACAAATGCATTTTGTGTGGCCAAACATTGTCAAATGCAGCATAACTTTATTTTAAATTGTAGTCAAGATCTTAAGGTCTCCAAAGATACCAAATAATTCATGGAGAATTCAGTGGAAATGTGTATAACATGGTGCACAATCCAATTTTTCCCTGTGATGTAATGGGTCCACCATTACATCAGTGGGGAAAAATTGGATTTGAATATTTCACTGACTTCAATAACACATTGTAACCAGCAGATACAGACAATGAAGAGAATGTGTTTCTGTTTGAAGATACTTGTGGAACATTTAACAGGAGCAGACAAACAAGGGTCATGGCATAATTTTTTATTTTCATTTTAGACAATAAAAAAAGAGTTAGAAGTGTTTTGAAATATCAAACGTACCTTTAGAAATGAAACTGGAATATTTTTTCTCTCTGCAGGCACTGCAATGTCGTCTCCTCAGTCTGAACTGGACAGTAGCAGTGCCATATTGGACGACAAAGAAGACTCTTATTTTAATGAAATAAGAAATTTCATCGGCAACACCGGCCAGAACCAGACATCCCCAGACCCGTCTGAGGAAGGGTGAGCACAGATTCATGTGTTCATTTCTGAGGGCTTTTTTTTTTCCTGAACAAATCTACATCTACAGAGAAAAAAAAAATATGATGATTACAAACAAATATTAACGAGAACTTCCAGTATGATTACTAATAAATTACTACTCACCAATACACTTCCACAGCATGTAACTTTTATTTATCTGAATCTATTAGACAGACCTACATTACTGCATGCTGAACTTTTGCAGTAATTGTGGCTTCACCATTGTTGGACTTAAAAAGGCCAGAATAAGCTGCTTTCAGCCCATTTTGGACTTGCATTTTCATACCACCCAGCCAGCCCTCGTTAATAATCACATCATGTTCAGGGGTCTGGAGTAGAGAGCAATCATCTGTGATGACATTTAAGATAATCACTGGTTGTGGAAATGTGCAGGAGCTCTTTATATCAGTTGCCTTTTGGCCACACGTACGAACAGATATCTGCGTGCATGCAACTTTGCCTGAGCATTATGCAAATAAATTCTTGGAGCTGCGATCAGGTCGGATAGCAGCTGAGAGGTCTGCTCAGGTCCCTGAGTTTGTTTTCACGTGCCTCACGTTGGTGTGATCACAGGGCAGATTGTAAGGCCAGATAGAGATCTCACAGACTGGTGTATGATTGTGCAGAAGGCCTGTGAGAGCAGGACCGGGCGGTAGAGCGTCAGAGGGATGTGGAGAGAGGCAGGAGGGGGGAGTGCAGCACATCTGGAACCAACATGTCTGCCTACAGGAAGAGGGTAGAGGGGGTGGGGTCAAAGGGTCGGCCCGTGTTTCCTTTCAAAGTGCTTCTCTCCTGACTACTTCTGATAGATACTTTATCCTCAGCAAATTACCACGTTTGAAAGCGTAATTAGCGAATCTGTTTTCTTAATCACAGAGCTCTCGCTCGCTCTCGCGGAGCTAGTCCCTCTTCTCAGCCCTGCAAGCTCAACACAGCACAAACACCACCTTGTCAAACTCTCTGTCCCAGCGGGAGCTCTGTCGAAAGCACAATATTATCAGCTGCTGATAAAGATCCTGTATGCGCTAAAATATAATCTGCGATAATTCCCTCCTCTGGAGTCACTGCACGCTCAAATGCATCCCTTTAAAATCCAGTGCAGGTATCCTGTTTATAAGCGTCCTGTAATTATGTGCTGATGTGCTTGATGTGTTTTGTTTCCTATCTGTCTACTTCTCCATGTCCAGTTCTCAGTCCTCATCTCTGAATCCTTTGTGTGAGAAATAGCATTTTTGGGAGCTGACGAAAGACGTCCCAGAGTGTAATTAGTGAATCAGTCTTAATGTGGTTCCAGATGATTTACCAAATGGTGGTTTCCTGTGGCGCTGAGACAGAGGGACAGATTAAGACTCAGGCAGTTTGGATAGCTGGCCCTGTCTCCCTCCACAGGGATAGAGGAATGGGCCGGTTGGCAATGCTCTCATAACTCTCTCACCAAATGGGGCTGTCAGCTAAATATTTTGCCTATTAGATGAATACGAGATAGCAGAGAAAATAAACAAGGAGAGAGGCAGAGCACTCCAGTTAAGTACTGCAACGATCAACCCAGTGCTGCTGTGCCCAAAGGGGCCCCAGAGCCTCGATGACAAACGGGATTCCGGCTCTGCTCTATCCCAGCTGCCATGTCCTGCTTCAGATCCACCTCTCGGCTGTTTATTCCATGCGCTCCATTGTTTTTGTATATATTCAGAAAGAATGCACTTTTAGGAAACAAAACACTAAAGACAAAAGCCAGTACCCAGTAAATTTACTAACCCACTGTATAGTTTTCACTCCAGTGCCTCTTTCCCGATGTTACTAATTTAAAGTAGTTAAAAATAGATTTCAATTTTCAGTTTTGTTCATTGCTCTCTTTTTTCTTAAACATAAATCGGTGTATATCTATAATGCACAGTTAATAAGGTGGATGTCACTGTCATTTATTCTTCCTAAAAATGTCTACTACTTCATCAGGCTGCATTGATCTTATCAATGTTCGTGGTCTGCAGGTTAAATGGCGGGCCATTTGAAGAAGAGAAGCCTCTGATGGCCAGCCATGTGTCACGTGACCTGGAAGACGAGGAGGCGGAGGAGCTTGGTGCTGATGAAGAAGAAGGGGAGGAGCCTAGCAACACCCCTGGGAAACCGGAAGGCGAGGTGCTCCCAAGCAACCTTAGTGATGACATCATACAAGACGAAATGGACTTCACTGGGCCAAATGACTTGAACCTCAACTGCAAAACCTCTCCTAGGGGGTAAGTTCAACACAGAGGCACACAAGTAAAACACCATTTTATATTGTGTAAATGATGATGTCCTGTCCAAAGTATGTTGAAAATGTCTTATTTGAAATTTTCTGCTTGACCTCCAGGTATAAGGATGAGGAGGAGCAGAGCGGCTACTCAGCCCTGGATCATATTCGTCACTTTTCAGACATGCGCAAGCTGGAGGAAAGTGAACTGAGCGAAGGAGATGGAGATGAGGACGATGGATCATTTGGCTCCCCCTCCCTGACCGAGGCAGTCAAACAGCCACTCTTTAGGAAATCTAAGTCTCAGGTAACAGAAACATTGACAGTCCATATGCATGTTTGCCTATACAATATACATTACTACTTGTATTGAAGCATGGTTGTTAAACGTAATCTATCTCGCCCTCTCTCTCTCAGGCGTACGCCATGATGCTGTCTCTGGCTGAAAAGGACTCTCTCCACCCAGCCACCCACACCCCAGCCACCATGTGGCACAGTCTGGCACGGGCTGCTGCTGAATCCAGCGCCATCCAGTCCCTCAGCCATGTATGATGACACCCCTCCGCGCTTTCCCTTTCACTTCTCAACCCCCAACCCTGACCGATGGCACTGGGAGCCCATTACAGGGGGCTATTTGCGGGGGCCCCTGATCGTCCACAGAGTGACTGCTGAGCAGAACCACAGCCCATCTGACTGCTGAGTGGAGCGCCTTACACACAAAGCAGGGTTACTGTCCATGCAGAACCATGCCCAGCCCCAGCCCAAGAAAATCTCCAACAGATAGAGAGCAAAAATGTCCCCATGAGACCTTAAAATTGATTTCTTACATTAACACCAACCAGGATGTGGTGAAAATAATAATGGTAAAATAATAATAGCTGTATTTATTCTGCTGAATTTCTATGTTTTGCACAGCAAAGGCAGCTGGTGGACATGGAAGATGTGCTGATGTATCATTGCTAGACTGCATTTACTGCCCAGCACATACAAAGCAAGGAGAACATTTCACGCTGAGAGGGTGAGTTTGGTTGTGTCTCTAAGACAGCCGGTTTCAGCCTAGTGTGCTTCACTGTGCGTACAGCATAAGAACTCTCTCGTCTGACAAAATATATCTTTAAAATGTTTTTACAAGAAATCCCTTTAACCCCCAGAGATCCACAGGTGCTTCTCATAAATACACGTACTTGATGATAAAAATGAAGGGTGGGGTGAAGCAACCTCAGTTCAGATGAAAACCGCTCCATGTAAGGACAGCGCTAACAGCGCTTTAATATCACAAAAGGTATTGAAGAAGAAATAACAAAACGTAATTGTTAAACTGAAATCAGGCCAGTTTCCCATCTGCGTTTTCATAGCTGCGTGTGTCTGCACAATCACAGCACTGTACACAAGTGTCTACCAACTGTTCTCCACTGCACTCCATCCTGCCCGCCTGCGCTATCTGTGAAAGGATATAAATAGATTGTCTTTTTAGTGGAAGAGAAGAAAACACTTTTTTTTTTACTGAGATAAGTAGCCAGTGCTGAAGTTAATTGTTGTTCTGTAAAGGGCATATGTCTTTTTCAAAACCCTTGAATCCATCCTAGTCAGCCAACAATACCACTAAATAGCCTGAATGCTAGTCGTTAGCTACTCCATGCTCGTGTGTCTTTCATTTTTAGACAATCATGATTTTGTTTTGTTTTTTTGTTTTTGTTTTTTTGTTGGTGTTGTTGTTGTTATTTGCTGTTGTATGTTGAGAATTGTATTTATTTCTTGGCAAACTGTAGTTTGTTTACTGAATAGCACTGCTCTTAGCCCAGGTGATGGGGAGATTCCTCACCGGGCTATCCCAGAGTTCAAAGGGGTTTGTAGATTACATTTGAGTGCCGGATAGTATTAAACATACAATTCACTCCTTATTCTTCTAATGAAACCGGTTGATGAATAGATATTACTTAGGTTTTTTTTTTCTATGACAATTTAATGATTCAATTGTAAAAAATGAAAAACATAAAGAATGAATAATGAAAAAAAAAAAAAAGCCAGGTATAATTTCTTCATAAGCGCATGATTGGTCTGGTAAGATCTGTATCTGACATTTTCTACGGTTGTCTGCAAGCTTGTGTGACGTTCGGTTCATGTTAATCCCTTGTGCCAAACTTATGATAAATAACAGATTACTTTCATTTATTCTCCCGTTTTGAGGGACCAGATTTTTTTGTTTGTTTTTGTCGTTGTTTTGTTTATAATCGATTTTAAAAAGTAATCAGCAAGTTGAGGTACTTTGTTTTAATGCTTTCTACAATGTAACTGTTATGCATTTCAATTCAATACTGTGGGAGGAACAACTAAGAAATAAAGGACAACAATGTGGATTGACATGTCTTCCGTTCTCTCGTTGTGTCTCCTTTAACATTTTACTCGCCCTTTTTCCTCACACCTCCACACTCTATATAGTTCTTCTGGCTGCCCATCATTTTGGCCCAAACAGAGATTTAAATGAAGAGACATGAGTCAGAAAACCACCTGGCGCTTTCTTCTGGCGCTCCCATGGCCTCCAGGAGTGAGGGAGAGCCTGAACTCTGGTCCTCTTTTTTCTCCAGGCTTTGGCTCACAGAGAGAGAGGGAAGCAGAGAAAAGGCTGGAGAGGGCTTGAATGTGGTAGTGGGAGCGGAGGCAGGAATGTGTCCTCTTTATTTGTGTCCGTTTGTGGGGCATGATGGATGAGGTGGGTAGATGTGATGACCTGGCTCATCGCTCAAACGCTCAATAAGAGTCCCATCCTGCAGCAGGCCTCCCCATCCGGCACCCCCCTCTGTCACTGCTGCCAGCCGACGTGGGCGGACATTGTGGCTGGGAGGGTTGGAGGTTCAGCGGCTCCATTGTCCGGCGAGCCGCTTGGGTGGGGGGTTGGAGAATTGGGCATGACAGTGAGGATGGCTGGCGCTGACACTCCACATTTACAGTGCTCTTGGCACCCTAATGGATGGGGTGTTTTCTTAGGGCCTGTCGTCAGCCCTCAGGGCTCTGTGGGGCGTCCAGCTTTGATGAGGTCACAGGGGGTCACGCAGTGTTGATGAGGTCAGCATGGGTCGTCCAGCTTTGATGAGGTCAGCTGCTGTGATGGTAGTGATGGCGCAGGCCAGGCCCATAATAGAGTGGCAGTGATAATGGTCCTGTGTATGAGTTTGGCCACCTGTACTATTGTGGACTAATTTAAGCCTTTATGATCATGTGTACATGTCAGTAGTTCTGCAAGAGCATCACTTTTCTCTAACAGTTGTCTGCTAATCCAGTAGCTGTGGTTCCTAAACCTGCTATTACTGTTAGCATACAGTTGTCTATTTACAATTCCAGCAGCTAAAGAACAACATTAGCATTGTCCTGTTTCTACCTGGCATTGGGTTAATTGAATTCACTCCCTTTAGTAGTTTTTTGATCTCCACTAACTTTGATTAGTAATATGTGGCTCTGCTAAATGCTCCACGACAATCACCAGCTAGTAGCTGTGTAACTTGTCTGTAAGTTGGTTGGTGCTGAGTTATTTTTAGAGCTTTTTCTGCTGAAAACAGCTGCCTGCTAAGGCCAGAAACGTTGCTGTGAGAGCGGTGAGAGTGAACCAAAACAGTAAAGCTGCAGGCCGCAAAACATAAACAACGACCTGAAAGACTATAAAACTAGCTTAGGAGAACTGCAGATTCGGGTGTAAATTCTCTGTCGTTGTGTCACTACAAGCTGCCCCTTTCATGTTGCACAGAGTCATTTGATCCAGTGTCATTTTAAAATTATTGATTATAACTGCTTTAACCACTATTTCTTTATTATATTTCCCGGTTTCACCATATTAATGTAATTTATGCCAGAAGCCAGATAGCACATGAAAACAACACTAGCCTAAAAGAACTTACACTTTCACTTAGATGATTTATGTCCCATTGTAAAAAGGCTGCTCCATTCCCTTTTCACTAGGCCCTGACCCCCCACATTATCATTGTTTTGTCATTATCATGGTTATCAGTAATTTCAGTTGGATGTTTCTATAAATTTTCCAGGTTCAGTTATTCAATACATTGGTTGTGAGATGTGGTTGATCTTCGCCTGCGGGTTCGATATTTTGGAAGGGTTGGCCCACTTTGTATATTTTCATTTGTTTGCCTAGGTGAGTGGGGTTGATCAGCAGCTCAATCAGGGAAAGGGGAAACAGGTGTGCGTCATTAGGTCCTCTTAGTAGTAGGGAGGGACTGGGCATGAACATGTGGGAAGATGGGTAGAACTGTTCTGCAGTAGATAACAGTGGGGTGAAACTTGTGCACTTATGAATAATATCTGGTGCTTATTGTATAGTGGGAACTGTCAGCATTAACAAAAGTTAGTATGCAGTGGTTGTATGGGGTTTGGTATGCTTGGACAGGATTGTGTGGGGTTAGCTCACCCCCATACTTACCTGAGCTGGTGGTAGGCTCCAGTTAGGTGAGAAGCAGAAGATAAGATGCCAGTCAGAAGTCAATAGAGAGAGACAGAGCAGGTGACAGCTTGCTGTGAGGCTGCAGATTTTATTTCTTTGATGTTATGGTTTAAGTTGTATTTTTGTTGAATTCCCCAGGGTTCATTTTCTTCAGTTTGGTAATATTTTTGTTCATAAAATCAAAATTGTTTTTAAGCACTTACTCCGGCCTGCTGACCTGCTTTTTTTGGAACATCCCATTTTAAAGTTTCCAGTGCCCAAACACCATCATCTGCCCTTTTTATGGGGTGGCGGCGCTACATTCATTTTAAATAGCTGGAACAAACACAGAGACAATTGTAATCAGGATTATGCAAAGGGAAATGATGCATCATTCTGCAGGTGCAATAAAACTATCTGGAAGCAACCGCTCAACAAGCTTTCAACAAACGGGGATTATACCTTGACTACATCTGGGAACTAACTTGGCAGTGGGACTTTGCCACCACCCCTCACTGACCACTCCCCCACCACTGCAATTCAAATTGCCCATGTAATTACATCACCTACATAAAGGACTTACCCCAGACAAAAGTCCAAAGGCACTGCCTCTTGAAAGAACACCAAAATATTATGAATACAGAGCAGTGTGCATAATGTCATTGTGTGTGGGCAGTGAAGAGGTGCGAGGAGGGCACTTGGGTGAGTTTGGCAGCTTAACATTTAACTGCTGTGCATGCACCGGTTTGATCAGTGTTGATTAGCGCATGCCAATGTCACCCATGTATCCTCTCACACTTAATCAACACGTTGGGACGAGTTATTGCCGTCATTAACCCACAGCTTCTCATAAAGGGCTCAGTGTGTATTGAAGTGTGGCTGGCAGGGCCTGAGATGAGTGTGTGTGTGTGTGTGTGTTTTAAAGAGCTAAGGAAGTCAGACATAAGAATGTGCATTAGTCAATGCAATCTGTTTTAGTTAAATGTGAAGTGTGTGTGTGTCAAAGGGGCTGGATCCCCAAGCTGCTGTGTCCCTACCGTGTGTGTATGTGGTCGGGTGGGCACACTGTGGGCAGCGGTTGGTGGGGCTTGGAGCCACTCAGCTAATGGGGCAGCTGGCACAGCCTCAGAATCCATCAGGCCTCATTACAGCTCCTGTTCAGCCACTGTCCGCTTTTTTCTTTCCTCCCCTCCTTCTTTCTGTCCTCACCCCAACCCTCCTTTCCTTTCCTCTGCCACCCGTCCACGCAGCCAGCCCTATGTGGCATGTAACTGCCCTGCTCCCCTTGCTGGAACATACATCACGGCCCCAGAGAGGGAGAGCGAGAGAGAGAGAGGCCATCACAGCTGGCAGCTCTCACGCTGATTGACTTGGCACCCGTGCTGACTCAGACGCCAGGGGAAACATTTTCGGAGAGGGAGGCATGGGTGGGTGTGGGAGGGTAGTCTGCAAGGAGGGATGGGGGTGTTGGTGTAGAGTGGTACTTGCTAACAGTTGGCACAAGTGTGTGTGTGTGTGTGTGTGTGTGTGTGTGGGTGTGTGTGTGTGTGTGTGGGTGGGTGGGTGGGGAGACTCCAAAATTCATCACATCAAGGTTTTGTTGTGTTTACAATAATGGTAGCACCTCCTCTGTCGGTTCGGTGTCCTCCCGTGTGTGTGTGAGTGTGTGTGCAGAGCAGGCCACTCACACCCTGTCATTTTCTTCCCCTTCCTCTTCTTCTCTGCTTATCTTCTCGTCTATTCTCCACCCCTGCCTTCTCCCTCTAGGAAAGCACCAGAGCTTAAGGTTGTGGTTTCATTACACTGTTTGTTTTTCCCCCTAGAGGCTACAGGTCATTAGTGTTATTGATGGACACTCAGCACAGGACAGAGCGGAGCAGCCGTGCACATGGTTTTAATATGACGACTCTAATCAGGACAGGCGTGGTGGCAGAACCACTTGGAGTCTGCTATTGAAATCATCTCATTCTTTGCTGATGGAGTAGATTAGAGAGTAGCTCATCAGGCCTTCAGCTCCACATTTGAAGGAGTGAAAATAACAGTTTAGAGTTCTGGTATTGTCGGAGTAACCTAAAGATATACGCATCAGTATCAACTGAAATGTTTGTACTTTGTTATGTTCATTACAGTATACCAGAAGCCTGCATAATTATCCCACTAGATCCACAGAGCTTTCATCCTCTTTTCCATTTTGAGTGCCATCTAGTGGTGTAAATAGCAACGTACACCTAACTACAGCTACACATTTAGGTTTCAACACTTCACTAATTAAATAAAAAAGAAACTTCAACTATAGTTTCTAGTTAGAAAAGGCATAAGACGATTTCTGCTGAAACACAAATGCAACTTTTGTTCAGGCTTATAGTCAGACACATCTAACCCGAAGGTACGCTCTTCACACCACACAGATTCCGCAGAGTGTGGGAGAGTTCATTGATACGCATCTTGTTGCAGCCTTCACATTTAACATTTATTTTTCCAGGCAACAACCAAGCAAATGGTGCAGGAACGTGTTGAAATGATTTCCCCTTCATTCCTTTATCTGAGCCGACAGCTTTGTCAGCTGGAGTTCAAAACACTGTGGCCTTCTGGGAGCTCTGGTTCAATGCAGAGGGGCAGAAATTATCTCTGGGACGTGAAGCTATGGCAGTAAAGTGATAGAATCTCTAGTGCAAAGAGTGGTGTATGCTTAATTACAGTGAAAAAGTACCCATGATGCGATCTTACCTTTTACGGGCTATTTCATCGCCAGTTTCCTGCACCCTTCTCTCCCTCTCGACAATTCCTGATAAGCCAGTGTGCGTACAACAGAAGGCCATTTTTTTCCTCCAAAAGACTTTAAGCACAAAAAACATCTTTTTGCATGCATTTGTAATAAAACAAAAGTGGCTTTTAAAGTACTGAGATCATTTTAAGTGAACCAAGATGAATCCTGAATCAGCTCCTTTTCCTATGAGCATCTTAAATCAAAAAAACTGTGCAGCAGTGTGCTAAGCATACATAAGGTTTGGCTTCCACCGGAGCTACTTCTTGATCTTACCATTTAGATGTCTTTTGGCGTGCCAGCTCCTCATTTGTGGCACTGCTCTCTGCCGGCATTATGTGTGGAGAGCTGATCCAACAGTGCAGTGGCCACCCAGAGCTCAGTGGATGGATGGCCTCTCTGGGCCTGTTTGACTGGAAACAGGTGTGTGTCATCTGAAGATGAAGGCCCGGCTGATAAACATTATTGGAGAACATCTGCTGCTTGTCACAACACAGGGCGCGCTGGAACGGCCTCCCATCCATCAGCCACACCGGAGAGTGGGTTGTGGGGGGTTCCATCCTCCGCTGGCGGGCCCGTTCACCCATCACTCACCTCGGGGATGCTGGATGTGGGGTGCATGTTTGGTCCAGGCACCTGCTTGCCTCTGCCGGACCACAGCCGCCTCTGGCCGATAGAGGAGAAAACGCTCCAACGCACATGAAAAATGCCTTGGGGATAGCACTCTCTCTTCCTCTGACACTGACACCCCCTCCCACACACACACACAGAAGAACAGGCACATGCACACACCTTACACCACCAGTGCACCCTGCTCAGGTGCCTCCCCCACCCCCACCCTCTTTATACCACTGTCAGGGAGGCAGACATGGCCTTAATGCTTGACCCCTCTCGGGCTGATGAGAGATGCCTGGTAGTAGCCTTGCACAAAAACACACACTGACATATCCACACACACAGGATCCCATAGGTCTCTTTGACAGCTGGACCCTCTCTCCCCCTTTTTCTACCTCCATAACTTTACTGTGCCCTCCGCCCCAATGAGCGATCACACAAATCACTACCATGCAACGCTGCATTCAGAGCACAAAAGTCAAAAATCGACGGTTAAAAGCAGGTGTCCCCGTATGTTGTTGTCATTTATTTGGTTCATGGCTCTTCTTCACTTTGTTGTAGTTAAAACACAACCACAGATGACAAAGACACATCACGGAGGAAGCAAAAAGACAACGGGAAGATGAAGTAAAAATCAAACAAAATGCATCACTGTAGCACCGCTGACCATCAGGAAATGAGCACAGTAGGTTATGAGGGATAAATGACCTGAGATATAATACAAATACGGTTTTTGTAAAAGCTGAATCCTCAAAACAAATGCACACATATGGTAAATGATAGCAGTAGTGATATGGGATGGTTAAAAAAAGGCTTCTAATTTTGTACAAAGTATGTCAAAGTTTATTAACATCAGTTTTATCATTTTTTTACCTGACTCCCAAACTCTGTATCAGCTGCCGAGTCAATAAACACAGATTCGAAAAAAGTGCAATTTGCATGCAGTAAACTCCATGATCAATGCCAATAAGTGTGTTCCTAATGCTGGTAAATGGAGCTTGTTCTTGTCATATTCAAAATTAAGAAATAACTTACGGGTAGACAATATTTTACACAGACATCGGTAAAAGGAAGGTGTATGAACAGTTAAATAAGTTAAGGTGAGGATGAGTCCTGCAGCTAGGAAAAATCTTGTTTGGAATAATCTACAAATGTATGAACTAGCGATGGGAGCTGGATTCTTTTGGGAAATGACGCAGTTTCACAAAGAATACAATGAAAATGTGTAAAAATCAAAACATAAAATTGTAACAACAAATTATAAGCAAGGGAATAAACACAAACATAAGAAATATGTAAGTAATACGATTCCCTGTGTGTATGGCAGAGACAGAGAGACAGTTTGATGAGGATGCAACCTCTGTCTGAAGGATTCACATCGACACAAAAATCAGCATTTTTATCTTGCAATATTTGTGTGTAGTTACAGGCTTCAAAATATTTTTAGCAAATATTTAAAGAAAAGAATTTGCCAAATTGATTTTGTTTGATTACAATTAAACTCCCCATCTACTCTAATGTGTTTCAGCTTTGAGGCTGTTTTCACACTCACCTGCTGAAGTGGGAAACTTTCTGTCTGCTCACCTTAAATCTGATTTACAGACAGATTTGTGGCATGATTTGTGCCAATCATAATTCAATACGTAACTCACAGAGGTGTGATATGGAACCCTGAACCCTCCAGTGCACTTACGTACACTGAGAAAGGACATTTCACTAAAAGCAGGAGATATCTTCTGTGGAGTAATTAAAGTTATACTGATAGATTCTGGATTTCTGCCGGAGTAAATGCAATTTTCAGTTATTTAACCATGTAACTGAAGTTTGTTATGGAAAAAAATATCAGACATAAGTCATTATTCAAAGCAGAGTATTTTTTATGTATTTTAACATATGTCTGGAGGTCTTTCTTTTTTTTATCATGAAACATCCCCTGCTTCAGCATTTAAGGCTCTTCTACTGGACCATTTTTTTGTACTGCAGTCCCTGTGTGTGTGGATCTTGGGGATTTATTTTTCAGAATAAGTATATAAGTGACCCATATACATTTCTAAATCTGTTTTAGAGGCATTTAATTTTCACCAGAAATATGCTTGGCATTCTGTCACACTAACCATTGAGTTTTTTGTAGACGCAAAAAAAAAGAAAAAAAAAAAGCAGATGTAAAGACTCTCCAGCTACAAGAAAGTCTCCGATTCAGTCACACGTCTTGTCCAACTGCCCTTAAGAAAGAAACTGAACCCTTAACAACTCATTAGACGTCAAACTGGAAAGCAAAATTAACCACTTTCAATCAGCGATAGTAACAGATGTGATGCAGGTATTTGTGTGTATTGCTAAAAAGTCTGTGTAACCCTGGACTTTAAATCTTACGCAGACTGGGGTAGGTTTAGAGCTTGTGGTCCTTTGAGGGCCCCTCAAATGCCAGGTTCACTGGTTGATTATCTTGAACTCCGGGCTCAGTGATGTGGGGCTAGTTTCTGACAGCTGAGTACCAGTTTCACGAAAACATAGTAATACCAACATCACCTTCACCAAGATGATCGTAGTAATGTTTCACACAGCCAAGCCCTGTGTTTGAATGTCCAGTCAGGAGTTTGCACCTCTGCTTGGGTTATGTGGTTTTGCTGCCTGCTCTTCTCTTTCTCTGGGACACTGAGAAGTTCAGCAGTGCCGGGGTTTGGTGTAGCAGTGCTGAAAAGGAGAAGAAAAAAAAAGCAAGAAGACATCAGCACTATTTGAAAATCAAAAGCAAATGTTCTGGGGTTTCTGGAGGAGAAGTAACTGGTGTGTAGTCTCCCGTGTGCTAGGCTTTGAGGAGGTAAAATGAAGACAGCCTCAAGCCTGGCTCCATGCTGGGTGCAGATTAAAATAACTGTCAGGAGACAGGAGCAGCTATTGAGGGAGACAGGGTGACACACAGAGTGATGGGGCTCAGCCTCTCACACTTCATGACACAGTATTTCACTAAAGCTGGTTCAGCTTTACAGCCTGTGACCCTCTGTGTGTGTGTGTGTGTGTGTGTGTGTGTGTGTGTGTGTCCGTGTGTGTGTGTCCGTGTGTGTGTGTCCGTTTTGTTTTAGCTTGACAACCCTCTGTGTGTATGCGTGTGTGGATGGCAATAGGAGCTTGCGGGAGGTTTACCTTCACTACAGGTGGGACCCAGCCAGGTGAGCGGGCACAGACATCGGCCAGTCAGCCCATCGCAGTGGGCCCCGTGGGAACACTGGCACGGCAGGGAGCAGTGGGGGCCAAAACGATCCCCACCACAGTCTGAAAGGAAGGAGACGTTTAAAAAAGAAAAGAGCTTCTGCACGACAGACACACATAGTTAACTTTTAAATTTTAACATCTTTTTTAGTCGTGTTAATAAAAGTGTGGTTCCCTCGTGCCTACTTTTTTCACATCTTTGTCCTGTCCTCCCTGGGGGACACAGACACCGTCCAGTCGATGGGTCACACGGGGCCTCACCAACACAGTCACACGACTTAGCACAGCTCAGTCCAAAGCTGCCGGCTTCACACCCTGAAAACAAAAAACACATATACACACTCACAAATGTAGCTGCACTGATGTAGTTATGGACACTTTCATTGCCTTCATTAATCACATAACCCTCCTCTCTGCAGACTACAAGAAGGATGAACAGTCAGCTTATTGGTGAACTTACTTTTTAGATTGGAAAAGGTAGCGGTCGCACTAAACTCGACTTATGTTAAGAGAGTATACTATCATTATCTAACATGACACAACCTATATGTATTTATTTATCTAGTCACATAAAGGACAAGTTAACAAAATGGACAATGTCCCAGAAAGTCCCACTTCTTATACACAAAAGTGCATTTAGTGATAAGAAAATGTGCATAGAGATTTTCTCACGCAGACACACACACACACACACACACACACACACACACACACACGCACACACACACACACGCAGATAGAGCCAGGTCTGTCTCTGCCTTACAGCTGCTCTGCAATGCTCAGTCATATCTCCTGCTGGGACTGAAGTGGCCATTTAGGCACTCACACTGCGGCTGAGAGCCCCGTGAGCAGGCAGGAGGGCACAAGGATGTAACAGGAACGCATTAAGCAGTCGGGAAACACCTGTCTCTCATCAAATAACCAGCCTGCCTGCCTGCCCACCTACCTACTTGCCTGTCCGTCTGCCTGCCAGAACACACTCACAACTTTTTTTTCTTTTTCTTTTTTGTTGGAAATCTCTTATTCATTCATGCTCATATCTGCCCATGTACAACAGCAGCTGGGCATCCAGGTGGCTGTTTCTTTTTTTTTTTAATGAGCACTGCTTGTGACTGTGAGCATGACATTGTTTCTGTCTTCATGGTCCTAATGGAGTGTAAGTATCTCAAAAACATTAAATAATTAAAATATGAGATATCTGTTAAAAGGGAGTGTAACTTTACATCTGATAATTAACGTTTGGATCTTCTTATGTACTCACGTCTTTGGCATTGTGGCCCATAGTAGCCTGGTGGACACACACATTGGCCTGTCACATGGTCACATGTCCGACCGACCTTACAGTCACAGGTATGGGCACAGTTGACTCCAAAAAACCCTGAGGGGCATTCTGGGAGAGACACGAGAAACAGAGTTGAGGTTAAGGTTACTTGTTTAAGCTTATGGTTAAAAATCGTCATGTAATCATGTTGTATCAAGGTTCATTCAAGTCCCACACTGTCAACGATTTCACAAGGGAAGCAAAGAAAAAAATTATATCTGTTTCAAAGTGTCAGCGAAACAAGTAGTAACCTTATCAACAAGTTTCCTTTTGTATTGTAAGTGAGGGTTTGCATACTGTGTTGACAGGAGTGGCCGTAGTATCCAGCAGTACAGCTGCAGGTGCCAGTGAAACGGTCGCAGGTCCCATTGTTGAAGCATGGACAATCTTGTGCGCAATCAAATCCATATTTTCCCTGTGAACAGGCTATACACACACACACACACACACACACACACACACACACACACACTGAACTGGATTGTAACTTCTCAATTAACAAATCAGTGGTACTCGTGAAGAAGCAGTGATTATAAACAACAGAAATGTGTAGACTAAATACAGTGATGGTGATAAACGGCAACTTTTGATAAGACTTCAAACAAAGCTGGGTCATATAAGGCTAATGGCAATTATCAGCATTTATCAGCTATAAAACAAAGTCTGTCAATCAGCATTTTACATGATTAAAAAAAATGTAAACTCAAAATACAGTAAAACATAGAAAGGACAGGTACATAGTAATGTGGGAACAAAAATGAGAAAATAACATTTTAAGCAGAAATAGCATTAAAAACAATGTGGGGATAAAAATGGGTCCTGAAGAGTTTTTTTTTTAATAGTGATCTGATAGCATGACTTTTTGTTTGTTATTCTTTTTCAAAGTTTTGATTTCCCGTGAACAGAACACAGTTTTGTTTAGTTCTTAGTATTTTCTGTTGTGTCTACTGCCTCTGAAGCTGTACCTGTGTCACACTGTGGTCCAGTCCAGCCCAGTCCACACTTGCAGGACCCGTCAACAGGGTCACACAGACCCCTGTTCTGACAGCTGCATGTGTTCCTGCACTGCAGACCGTAGCGCTCTCTGGGACACGCTGCAGACACATCCAGAAAACATCAGAGCGAGACAAGAGCTCCAGGCTCTTCTGTTCTACTCAGCAATCACACCAACGGGTGTAACACACTGATAACACACAAAGCACAGTGTGTGCTCTCTGTCTATCTGTCTCTTTCACACATACACACACACTTACACACACACAAACACACACACACATACAAGACTGCACTAACCACATTCATGTTTATTTAAGCAACAGTTCATTAAAGAGATGGCAAAGTAGTCTAATTTGGCGCTGATATAAAAGAATAATCATGTTTCTTTGGGTAATTTAGATTGGGAACACAATAAGCAAGCCGTCTTTGATTTTCCTGTTTATTTATTTGCTTCCTTGCCAAATCCAGCGACACGGAACACAGAGAACGAGCTACTTATAGGTTTCTGTAAACATTCAACAAGAGGAACTTAAGAGGTGGTATGTCCCAAGTACATGCAGGAGGCTAAAGAAGAGAACATTTAGCACAGGCAGCACTGGAAAGCCCCGCTTGCAATCCAGCTGAATTGCTGATAAAGGGTGAGATTAAGAAAACCCAGCTCTGCCTCCGTTTCCCGCGAAAAACAGTCCTGTGATCATCAGAGGCCTCACACTGAGGAAATGGAGAATTTGTTACTTAAATATACAGTGAGAGATGTTGAAAAATACACCCTCATTTTGGTGGTGGTTTCTCACTTTCCAGTTAGGTCTCCTATTTCTGAAGAACTCATTAGGGCCAATGGTTTCCACTGATGCATGTCAGCCTCAGTGCTGACTCTTTGCATACTCAAGAGAATGGTAAGAGATAAAAGGCTGAATACAAACCATGTTTGATATCTATCTCAAAGCTCAATGATAAATTGCCTCTTGTAATTTAGTAGATATTTCTTCTTGCCTCAAAAAACAATCACTACATTTTAAAAGTGCCAGTATGAATTTTATACAACAAGTAATACCCTTTCAGCCAAACTGTATTTGTTAATAATTGTATTTTTGTTTTAACTTTTTAACTCATTTGACAGTCCTTAATGTTGACTAATTAATCATCTTAACTAGTGCAAAAATATTGATTACACATCAGACTTTGATAAAATTGACAGTAATAAAATGATTCACAGTGGCATAATATGCACCAAGTGAACTTTGTTTAGTTATACCAAAAGGGCTGGTGTGTCATAGGCCGCTAGTACAAGCCAATCAAAGACAATCAATGGCATCAGTTACCTTGCTGACAGGACTGTCCCATCCTACCGGGGGCACACATACACCTCCCAGTTGCTGCGTGGCACTGCCCTCCTTCCCCACAGGAGCACAGCTTAGCACAGTCTTTCCCATAGTATCCACTCGGACAACCTGCAGAAATAAACACGCCCTCATTTACTCAAAGCAACAAATCAAAAAGTAATGAGGATAAAAATCTTCACATCATAGACCTTGTGGGTTGGTAGTTGACCAGCATCCTTAAAACACTAACTCCATGTAATTATAATACAGGGGTGCTAAAAGTCATGACTCTTTCCTATTTGGGAGAACAAACAGGTGCAAGTTTTCTTGACTTACTTGAGCTGCAGTCAGCTCCAATGAAACCAGGAGGACAGTAGCAAGTCCCAGTCCTAAAGTCACAGCGACCACCATTGATGCAGCTACATCTGGACTTGCAGTTTGGCCCAAAAGTCCCTGCGCGACATCCTGGAGACAAACCATGACAAAGAGCAGGAAAGAAAAAGAGGAGGGAAGGTAAGTGTTGTAACGTTGTTTGTTTGAAGTGTTTAATCCAGTTTTTGGGGTTTAGGTTATTCTACTTGCAGAGCAAAGGTGATGTTTTGTTCTCCAAGTGTTTTGCAGGTCTTCTTCTTTTCCCTCATTGGGTGCCTGAACCATCTCACCTGGAGCTTGGCCCAGACTGTCAGCTGTTTGTCACTTTCTCATCAGTGGACAGCTATATCAGCTTCCCAGAACTGGTGTTTCTGGTGTTTTTGGCTACCAAGCTGCCTATTTATGTGTTGTGTTGTTGCTGTGGTTGTTTTTTTAGACCTTGTTAGTACGATTCTTTCTTGTCCTTGCTGATTGAAGTGTTTCTGTTGTTCTTAATGCAGACGAAGCTTTGAAGGGTTTCTGTGCCTTTTTTTGTTGTTTTTCTCATGTTTTGTGGCCAGTCGGGGAGGTTAGAGATGTCTTTTTGTTTGACTCTACTGATTACCTGAGGTATATTTCCTAGATAGTAAGGGGAGTTTTGTCTATTATTTTGGCCTCAGAGACCCCAATGTTTTTTTTTTTGCTTCCCTTAATTTAATATTAGTAGTTTGTTGCATTTTGTTACTTGTGTTACTCTGATATTAAACACCCGCTCCTGTTACACTTGCCATGTGTCTCAGTCACCTTGTGAACTTCATGTTACTCCTCATGTTCCCCTAGACATTTTTCTTAAGAGGGTCGTAACAGGTGACATGTTAGCACAACCTGATCTGCTTTGTGCTTGAGGGAAATTATATGCAAAAATCTGAGTAATAAATGTAAAACCAACACCCATTATGGCAGGTGAACAAAAGGTCACTAAAGTTCTGGCTTTATCTATGAATAAGATATGAATCTTTGACTTCAATGAAAATCTATCCTGCTCCCATTTTTTCCACCCAACTCCCTGTTTAACTAAAGGCATATTAGTACATGCCCAATATCAGTCCACACTGACAGCAGGAAGAAAAAAAAAAGCGGTGTACTCACGTAGCTCACAGTGTGCCCCGTAGTAGCCAGGTAAGCAGCTACATTTCCCCGTCACAGGATGGCACTGCTCTTGATCACCTGAACATTGGCACAGCTGGCTGCAGTTTTGCCCGAACATGCCAGCAGGACAGGCTAAGACAATACATCCAGAAACATATCACATACTGTAGATGCTACACAGGTAAAATTATAAGGAAACAAACTTCATATTGTGTCTATATCTGCAATGCGATGTTGCACACCAAAAATGAATCAAAAGTGAAAGTCCAGCATTGCATTGCATTTAAACTACGACAGCAGATATGGCTTTACACATGCACACACACGTTCGGTAGTTTGTGGGAAGAAATACAAATGCCATTTCCCTGTCCTTCCTCAGATTTCTCTGTGAACATACTGGGACATTCAGTATTGACTTGCAACAAAACCAACACTCCCAACAACTTTCCCTGGTGCCTAAAACCCAGATGGACGCACAGGGACATTCTTTCACACACTCCGTCTGCATACATACGTACACGCTCATCACAATAATGAATGGAGTCCACAGACAATCAGTCATAGCGAACAAGATGAATCTGTGAACCGAACATGTTTACGGGTGAGACCGCAGCACTCAGCTACTCAGTCAGGCAGCAGCAGGCAGCGTGGGGGACAGATAAGAAAGGACTCCAGACTAAAGAGGCAATTACGGCGCTGTCATTATGCATGTCTGCCTTCCAAAAGCCCTTATCCGCCGCCGAGGAGACAAAAACAATGCCTTCTGTTTTACTTGGCAACCGGTGTGTAACATTTATCAGATGTCTGGGGGAGTGTGTGAGGAGAGGAAGGGTAGCTGAGCGATGCAGGGGCGGGTGGGGTGGGGTGGTGGTGGAAGGAGTGGTGGTGGAAGGAGTGGTGAGGGGCTGAGTAGTGAAGCTGGTCGTATACAGTCCTAAAGGGTATGGTCGAAATAATGAAACATTAGCATAAATTCCTGTGACAGTAAGGCTTTGGTACTGGTGTAGAGTGCATTTCCTGGAATGGAATAAATGGTAATCTTTTCCAGGAGGACTATGAAAAAAAAAGGAAATTTTAATTAGAATTAACAGAAGGATTCTTGGTGATCACTTCAATCCCATGATGCCTTTTCTTCCTGATGGGAGTGCGGCAAGGCACAAATGTCAACCAAATGGTTTTAAATGCGTGACAGTGATATTAGCCGTGTGCCAAGGCTTTCTCAATAAGTTATACATGAAAGACATTTGTGAGATACAGCCGCTGCTCACCTCACCGTTAAAGAACAAAATTTATGAGGAAAAATGTTTCTATTTGTGTCATAAAGTTTTGTTTTTTATTCTTTATAGTCTTACTTTTCTCACAGCCAGGCCCTGCGAGTCCAGCTGGGCAGCCACAACTCCCCGTCTCATGGTGACAGGACACCCCAGCCTGGCACTGACACCGCTGGACACAGGAAGCGCCGTAGGACCCCGGGAGGCAGGCTGGGAGTGGACACACACATGCGGGCACACACAGTCAGTTTACTCTCATGTTCAAAGCTCACTCTATCGCCAGTTTCATTCACTTGCAATTTCCTCGGTCCTATACACACTCACGTTTGTCACACCTGGCTCCCCTCCAGCCTGGCTCACACTCACAGCCGCCTGTCACGTGGTGGCAACTGGAACCATGGATGCAGTCACACCTCTGCTCACAGCCCTCTCCAAAGAATCCCTTAGAACAGGCTTCAGACAAAACACACAAGCATTCCTGTTCAGCATGCAACATTAGCGGCTGAAAAGAAAGTTTTTAAAAAATGTCAAGGTTTTTTTGTGCTTATTTACCCAGGGCTAATTGCACAAATTGTTTTGACACAGCAAGTTTTATGATTCCAGAAGTAAGTAAACCTGCACTTTTCTTTTGCTGCTGAAATGTTAACAAATGTGGCACAGATGCAAGCCGGGAGAAAAGGCTTCACTTCTCCAAGTTGGATGGCAGGTTAGCTAGATATCTATATGTCTCAATGGGAGAGGTGAAAAACATGTAATACTGTGTATTATGCCAAACAATAATTAAAAGACAATCAATAAAAAGTGATGTGTAATACAATAGTGCTGATGTGAAGTTTAGGAGGTCACCTGATTGACAGAGCTCTCCTGTCCAACCAGGCTGACACACACATCTTCCTGACACCTTGTCACATCTCCCTTCATTTGTACAACTGCAGGCCTGGGTGCAGCTCTCTCCATAATGTCCTTCCTCACACTCTAGGAGAGAGGAAGACGAACAGTTAGATCAATGTTACATTCTACAAATGATGTATCTCACAAGTATAGCTTAAGGATGGATGGAAGATAGGAAGTAAGGCCTTACCTAACTCACAGGCGGCTCCAGTCCAGCTGGGCGGGCAGGAGCACTGACCAGTCACGCTGTCACAAGAGCCCCCGTTTTGACATAGACACTGGCCAGAGCAATGTTCCCCATATTGTCCTGCAGGACAGGCTGAAATCACACACACATAACACAGAACAGACATTCAAATGAAGGAAATCTAAGATGAGTAAATAATGAAGACATTATTCAAATTTTGGTAGTCAGTCTAGAGTCAGGTGCCTACAGGAGAAATGAAAGTTGGCAAGTTTGGAAAAAGCAACTCCAACACCTGCAAATTTAAATAGGTTTTCAATGAGTAAAGTGTTTCAGTGAGAAGACGTGCATCAGGCTTCTTCATATATGAGATCATCCTCAGTAAGGTATTTACAAGTTTCTGCTCCACTTCAGCAAATCATGTCCATTTTTACATTTCTACTTACCATTTTCAAATTCAGGGTAGATCTTAATTTAGCGTCTGTTCAGCTAGTTTTTCATTTTCTGATGTATTTTCTTTTAAGTTCCAGGAATCAGTTATTCCCCCGATAAATTTCTTTATCAGGGATTTGAAGAAAACTGACTGAGCATGAAATCCCACTGATATGGGTTCTTTAGGAAAGCAGCAGTAAATATTTCGCAGCTTCATTCATTGTCATGGTGTGGAAGTGAGTGAGGAGCTACTCACGCAGTTGGCAGCTGACTCCAGTCCACCCGGCAGCGCAGCTGCATCTCCCGGTGACGTGGTCACACCTGGCTCCGTTCTGACACTCACAGGTCTGACTGCACTGCTCTCCAAAATGACCCTGCAGTCATTCTGCCCACACAAACCACACACACACACACAGACACGCACACACACGCACACACACAACAAGCAGGCACAGGCACAGGCACAGGCACAGGCACACGAAACACATTTCCGCAAGTACCTTAAAATGAATTGCAGCTACATCCACTGAAAATGTATAAGGGCATTTTGGGGCATTAGGGTTTTCAGCACACATATTGTAAACTTCTTAATGATCAAAGTCCACGATGACATTTAGAGTCTAAGAAAGAGGAAAATGCGCTAATGACAGAGATGCATCATTAAGTCATGCTAGTGGCTTTCTGCTGACTCTGGCTCTGGTAGTTAGGACCACAAAATGGCTGTGGCAAGAGGAAAGTCTTGAATAAGACTGCAGAATGACAGACTAAGAACTTTAGTGGGCATTTCATTGGATTCATTAAAACAACGGCATGAAATCCTCAAGAAACTTTAGCATGAGAACACTGATTGGTTAGCTACTAAAAGACTCTTCCAAGTTATGTTCTCCCTTTCCTAATGTTGATCACTATAAACACGTGGGTGCATTTATCCAGAATAGACCTCAATTAAAGCGTGTATGCCAGAGGGCACTCTTGTCCTCCCTCCTTTCTCCACCCTTACCCATCCCTAAAAAAAGTAATCGGCAATGTCTCATTATAGAGATAATTGTTCACAAACACATCATAGTTGTGTTTAAGGAGAGGATGTCGTGATGGGCTGCAGTGAGGGCCTCCCTCACACCCCGTTTTAATGATGTGGCTTCCATTACCCAGAATGCAGTGTGGTCCTGCCCAGCCGGCGGTGCATAGGCAGGCTCCTGTGATGTGGTGGCAGCGGGCACCGTTCCTGCACTCGCACATCTGGCCACAGTCAAGACCGTAAAAGCCGTCCGGGCACACTGTGGGCCAAGATAAAACATCCGACTGGTTAGAACTGGCAGCTTCACAAAAGAGGAGAGGAAAAGGTCTAGATGCCAACTTTTCTTTTTTTTTAGTTCTTTCTCTTCCCTTCCCGATCTCTGACTCTCCTCTCCTCCTCTTACTTTCCCTCTCTGTCTTACCACCTACTGAAAATACCAATATCAAATTGCAGTACCACGCTGCGGCTGTTCATTTGCAGAGCGTCTGCGTTCGTTAAGTGAGCTCATGTCCCACATGTGTGGTGGATCTGGGCCACATCAAAGTCGACGGCGGCTCGGAGGCTGTTCCCTTTTGGGGGTAGAGGGGGCACGGAGAGCCGGTAATTAGAGCACCTGCTGAGTCCACAGGCCCCACCAATAGACTGCAAAACAAAGCCAGGTTACTGTGCCCCCCTAACACACACACACACACACACACACACACACACTCACACACACACACCTACAGTATTGCTGCCGATGCAAGGAGATGCCAGTGTAAGAGTCTGTTTCCCATTCTCAAGGAGAGCAAGAGAGATTGTTTAAGTGTGTGTAGAGTCAATTGACACTCAGAGAGTTTGGTAAACATAGTGCCTCCTATCCACAAGAACTGAGCCAGAGGCTGCTGGATGAATGAGCCTTTCCACTACTGGGATGTAAATATTGTCTGTAAGCATGACTCCACCAGAGCAGGAAAGAATGACTCTGTTTATTCACGGCCTATTTTTGATCGCTCAATTTGTCACTGAACAGATCACAGCCTAACTCAAGCATGAGAGGCGTATTTTGCAAAACAAAAAGTTCTGGTTCCATTCTGGACTTTATTTACAGGAATGCTGCCTCTTGCGCCGCCAAAGTCTGACTGAGTGACAGCTGTTGTGGGCATCTCTCTCTTCGAGTGCCCTCTCCTGTTTTCTATTGCAGCACAAAGTGAGAAAAATCTGAGCCTGGTGAGGGTGTGAGCAGAGTCTATCCCAGTGATCTAAGTTGCCAGCAGTTTTTACAAATGTTTTATATACTACATCCTCTATCTATAAGGAAAACAGTGGACTATGTTACCAAAGGAAAACACACACTGCAGAAATGTGGAGCTTGGTGGTTTTATGTATTCTAAATGCCACAGTGCAGTACTCAGGGTGTTCCCCTACAGTTTATGCATCATGCCCTCCTTCTCCTGCTCCAATTGATGATGCTGTCCACTCCTACTTTTTCTGCTTCAGGGCCTCAAATTGGGAAAAGTATCTTTCCTGCTCAGCAGTTTCTGGCACAGCCATCGCCTTGTTCCCACGCTGACAGTATGACGTCTTTGCCTGCCTCTGTAGTGGTTAAGCTGAGATGTTATTAAAGCAAGCCCACTGAGGATGCTGTCATTTTAACCCAGCTGTACATCAGGTCTGTGGCGTTACTGTAGCAAAATCGCTGGTTTATTGTCTGTTGTTTATTATTATGATAGCTGTTACTGACACCATAGCAACAAGCTGGTCTTTCTGTCCTGCGGGAAAATGTTTCAGGAATGTCACTCTGATCATGATATCATTTATTTATCCGTGAAATGCGTCTCTGATGTTAAAATATGAGCATAAAACATTTCAGATGAGTGATGTTCCCTTTTAATGGAATTATTTAATTCTCCAGGCACAGTAATCAATTCAACATGTTAAAACACTTTCCTTACTTTTCAACTGCGGCAGATAAAGTTTACTGCAGTACACATACCGTATGTCAAATCTTCACGGAATATACTGCCACATCTGCCTGGCAAAGTTTATTATTTGTTTATGCCAGCAGGGGGCGACTGGTTTCCTTATTAACCACAGAGCATCAATCTGTCATCTGATATTAGCACAGTGTCTGCTAGTGTTTGTAAATGTCGACTCTTCCCTCCTGAGTCTTTGTTTATAGGTAGGCACAGAGGATTCGGTCCACCACACACACACACACACACACACACACACGCACACACACACACACACACACACAAACACACACTGTGCCATCGCTGAAAGACTCCATCTCTAGACTAAATGAGCTCTTTAAGACAGGAGGATTATTTCCAGATCCCTGGTTGTGTAAGAGCCACTGCTGTCAGCCCATAAAGCAGGTCCAGGGACCACACAGCCGGGGAGAGCAGACCACAGAAATAGAGCGGATAGAGAGAACATAGAATAGGACTTCCTGGTGTTATTCAGGGTCCATACACCAGAAAAGGTCAACACAACAACAAGAAAACAAACCAGTTCTGTTCAACAATAACGCGGATGTTCAATACCAGTCGGGCCAGAGTTCTTTACACTGCGACCAAATGAACTATTTTGATGCAAACTTCAAAGCTGCAGACCAGAAACGGAGCACGATCCACGTTAATTGAAGAAGTGGCGTGGTGTGCGGGACCCATGTCAGCACAATGCCTTACTTTCTCCAACAAAACTTGACTGAAATGCTTAGCATCAGCCTCTGTGACACATGATTGCTCAGCGAAACAATGCTTACCATAGTAACAAGCTGTCCGAGTCTTGCGGTACCTGTTATTTTCATGAATAATGAGATATAAGCCAGAGTTTGGACGAAAATTGCCCACGTTGGAGCAAACACCCGAAAGGAAAAATCATCTCTTTCCATTTTAATTCTGTGAAACAGATGAACTAGAGAGATCTGGTCCTTCTCACAGCACAGGCCTCTTCCTGACTTCTCGTGAAGGAAGAGGCCCAGCAGAAGACTGAGAAACTAGACACCTCTGTTTGAGGGGAAAAAGGCCTTCAGAAAACAGAATCTGGTCAGACCGATAGCCGTATTTCCACAGCAACGTCCAATCAGAGCAACGTCGACGTCTGAGGCCATTAGACTGTTATGACTAGGGATGTGAAGCTCTGCTCTAGTGTGACATGGCCATGATTTACGATGCCCCACGCACTATGGAGGTGGTATGAATTTCTGGGCCTGGTAGTACACTTACAGTAAATCTTACACTTTGTAATAACATGAGGCCACTTTGAGTCAAAAGACTATAATCAAGAACAAATCTATTACATTGTTAAGACTCTGGGACTGTTGGCATGTCTTGCAGTTCAGGACAAATATCATAATGATGAGATGAATATTAGTTACATGACAAGTTTGCTATGGTAGGGTGACTATGAAATACAGTGCATCTACCCCAGAATGACTAATATAAATTATATCTTGGGATATGAGTGGTTTTAAAATGGATTTGCTCATGACATTACACGGACAATCAGATGATTCATTGAATCTTTGTGATGATTCACTGAAACTGAAAAAATCAGAAGACCATCCTGCAGCGCCCTCTAGTGTAGTAAAAGTTGGACATGATAGAGATAATGTCACTTGTAATGGAGAGGAGCAGCGCAGCTTCGTCTGGGAATGTGGTTACACTGATTTTTTTACTTAAGACAAAGAAAAGCAGCAAATCCTCAGAACTGAGAAGCTGGAATGTTCTGCATTTTTGTTTAAAAAATTACATTAAACAATTAATTGATTATCAGAATAGTTGCTAATCAATTTTTTGCCCATCCACTAAGTGATTCATCGACTAACTAATAAAATTAAAATCTAAATAATATTTTTAAAAAAATGCAGGTTTGGTTATTTAATCAGGTTGAATGGGGGTATGGTATGTGTGTGGGACAGAGGGAGAGGTGGTCCTGCAAACCTTTATTACCTAAAATGAGCAAATCCCCCCCCCCCCCCCCTCTCTATAATATATATATATATATATATACACAAATATGCTCTCATTCTTGGGATTTTAAACTTAGTACAAAGTGGACCAATGTAAATTGAATCAATTATTTAAGTCTCTAAAATCCTTTAATAACTGTTTTAGAGGCGTTTAAGACTGATTAAAGGTTAAAATGACCCCAAACATAACATAACATACATGTTAGTCACTCATCATCAGAAACAAAACAAATCTTACTTTTTTCACAAAAAGTGCCAGCATATCCAGGGGAACATGTGCAGGCTCCGCTCACATGGTCACAATGGGCTCCATTTTGACACTGGCACTGCTGGGCACAGCCCCGGCCATAAGTGCCATTGACACACACTGTGAAAGGCAAAGTGCAAACATAACACAGAAAAGACTATATTTTGCAGTTTGAGCTTTAAAATTTCAAATCCTCAACTTCTAACCAAAATGAAGCCTTTTAAAAACCTTCAGTCTGTCTTGTGTTACGCTGTGTATAGTGCTAAATATTGTGTTATTCATCCCAGAATCGTAGGAGTTGCATATAATTTATTCAAATCTCTAATTATACAGTACATTACAAGTCACAGGATCAAATTCAAAATTTACTGGAATCAAATGCTATGATAAAATTAAATATCAGGGAATTCTCTATTGTAAATTAAAGCAAAAGCTGCTGTAACTGAAATCACCCCATGGTGGCAGCATTCACTAAATATACATTTTTTGAAACTCTTGTGAGATGCTAACTTACTCTTTTCACATTGGTCTCCGGTGAAGCCAGTCTCACACACACACTGACCAGTGACGGGGTCACAGCCCACAGAGCTGTCCTGGCAATGGCATTTAGTTTTGCACCCTTGGCCCCAGTAACCAGATTCACATGCTATGAAGGGCAGGAAGTATTGCAGTTAAACTTATGCACAGAAACTTAAACTTTTGTACTCAGCAACACTGTAACATTATAATTTCTTAAAACATAATAAAGAAACTGAAATGAAGACAATTACAGTTCTTACATGTTGTACAGTCGTGGCCTGTTTTGCCAGGAGGGCAGACACAGTGTCCAGTCTGTGGGTCGCAGCTGGCATCAGGGTGGCAGGAACAATGCAGAGAACAGCCTGGTCCATGGTAGCCTGGGGGACACTCTGTACACAACAGACATCCATAGGAATCATGGTTTACTAATTTATTTTGACTGACAGATGGTTGGTGGAGGTAAAGAAAATCTTCAATTTAAATGAAACTTTACGGTATGGACAGCTTTAAACATAATCCAAATATAAAGCAAATCTGACTACAGCAACTATACCATAATGACTTGTTTTGTTTCGTGAATCACAACACAGTTAAAACTCACCATCTTGGCAGAGGCTTCCTGTGAAGCCTGGCTTACAGTCACAGCCTCCAGTCTGCTTGTTGCAGTAGCCTCTGTTCTCACAGGGAGGACAAGATGATTGGCACTTCAACCCCCAGAATCCATCAGGGCAGTCTGGGGAGCATCAAGTGTCATTCAGATTAACTGAGCAGTAAGCTACTTACGTTAGTTATTTCTCTGTAAAGCCCTAAAGCCACTTATGCTTAAATAATTTGGGAGAGAAATGTGTTAAATAGGTGTCTGAAAGAGGTTAAATATGCCACTAGGCAAGGAAGCTTCAAAGCAAAGGACAAAGAACATAAACACCATGGTCGTTCAGTAGGCTAAAGATAATTCTGCAAGTTTGTAATGTCAGTGAGTTCAAACTGTCCCTCATCACACTTTCTTCCCCCTAAACCTGCAACATGATCAGGCCAAACTGTCCCAAAACTAATATTAAAGGACAGTATAACAAAATAAATATACCTTCCTGACAGGAGTGTCCTATCTTCCCTTGAGGACAGATGCACTGTCCGGTTATGGGATCACAAGGAGCTCCTTCACAGTCACAGGTCAGGTGACAGTTTACTCCATAGCTCCCAGATTTGCAGGCTAGCAAAACATAATAAAAAAAATAAAAAAAACACAAAATAAAAAATTAAAATCAGAGGTAGAAAACACAACAGTTGCAGTGTAGCACAAGAAAAAAAACACAAGACAGGATTACACAACACTGGGCAAATGGTTTAAGGGAGAAAACTGCGTGTGTGGAATTTTAGAAATACTCAATTATTTTCTGTTTATTTATTCAGTCCCTGCCAGTAGCCTCTGCAGTAGTAACTGAAGTAAATTGCCCCTGTCATGACCTGGCCCGCAACTTAAGATAAATACAATCCAGAAAATGTGGATGGATTTTTATTTTTATATTTGGCGTTGACAAACCCAGCAAGCCCAGGCCTGGGCTGTAACTCTGCTCTGTTGTCTTAGTCCACTCCACAGAGACACAAAGTCATGTTTTTACCAGACGCTCCTGAACAATATTCTGTATCACTTTAGATCACAACCAAAAGATTTGAACTTTCCATCAACCAGCACAGTAAACAGACACCCTGCTGTGGAGGGACACTCATATTATTGGGTTGTACAGTTTGTAATAACAGGAACACCTGCATTGACCAGGTGAATTCAAGAGAAAGCCTCATTTATTTTCACCAACTCAATCCACTTAATCCATCAAAGGAATCAGAGAGTGAATGGAAGAAAACAGAATGAAGGAGGATTTATAGGTGTTATGGGAATTGAAAACGATTGCGACACAGGTGGAGAAATTCACTCATTTATAACAATTTGTGTTGTCATAGTTTATCAGAGAGGGTACACATTTGCACAGGCATGAAGTAGGCAAACAATAACCACACAAGTAGACACATGTGTCAGTATGCAGGCCCACGCATTTCACATAATCTGCACACACACTCATATCAAGTGTATTCATAATGATCCTCTACTATGTAACCACAAGAGGGCGCTGTGGAGTGGAGCTTTGTGGAGGACCTCACACTGTACATCAACAGTGTGGCTGAAACATTTTAAATGCAACAAAAGCAAAAAGAAAGTCTAAAAAACAAATTAGACCTAAAATAACTTTACTGTGTGCTTTACTTACATTGTTCTACCTCAGCATTTTCACAGTTTGATGTTGATTAACAATGTTAATTAAATTCCACTGATGCAGCTTTTTGTCTCACCAAGTTGACATCTATCACCATGAAGTCCTGCAGGACACCGCTGGCGGCACTCTCCAGTCCTTGGGTCACATGACCCTCCACCTGGACAGTCACATGGCTGCTCACAGCCTGCACCGAAGAAGCCAGGATCACATTCTACATAGGGAATAGAGACACATACACAGAACAAGGGAAGATGAACATGATGGATGAGCCAAAATTTTGTAAAATTATGCAGGGTAGACAGTCACTTGGGTTATTCCAATCTTAACCAGTGATCGACTTGACGCTGTGATCAATGGAGGTTGTTTTCTGAGAGCGATCACAGAAACTTCTTAGGCTTCTTTTCTTATAGACCATTACAACAAAACTGCATTGCAAGGAAACAGAATGCCTCCAAGTTTATCTGCAAGAAAATTACTGTAACTTGAAACTTTAAAATGCTTGAAGCTTTGAATTGGTCAGTACCGTAATATGTCCACTGAATCAATTTCTGGTTGAGAAGCCTAAGTGAGGCAGTTGACCTGAAAATCTACACTGTGTGGGCAAAAAGTAACAAAACACAAATCTTGATGATGAGGAATGGATCATGGATGCCGAAGCTGTCGTGCTTATACCTTTCTCACACTGCGGGCCATGGTATGCAGCTTTACAGAAACAGCTCCCTGTTTTGGGGTCACAGCCAGAGGAATGTTCTTGAACACAGTCGCATTCCTTGGAACAGCCTGCACCGTGCGTCCACCTGGGACAAGCTGAGGAGCAGACCAGGGATCAGTCGAAAAAACAGACAAAAAGCATGAGTAAGGTTTGAGGTACAACAACGAATGGTTTCAACATGTTCTCATGTTTGAATGATATTGTCCAAAGACAACATACACATATGATTTAGACTTGAAGCATATAGCTATGATCTACTAAAACAACTTCATAAAAGTTTTTAAAGCTAAGCAAAGAAAACGCGGTGGTGAAAGTGAAGGTGGGCATGGCTCACTGAGAAAAAAATGTTGAAATGAAACCTTCGCTACTATCAGATTACATTTTGGTAAACACACAAACCCAACCACCATGTTATCACAACGTCAGACTTCTGCTAGTTTAAGTCATGTGACCACTGCCTCTTGTTTCACTCAATTCATAGATCTTCATGCACAATTATGATGCATCATTTGTCCTTACTGAAGTATAATTAAGAATCTGACTTGAGACCAGACTGACTACTGCTGCAAGTGCTTTCTTGCAAAAGTTTGAGATCTAAAAGTAATGATGGTGGTGAGTTTGTGGCCACTGTTGTTGCAAAATCTATCACATAAACAGCAGCACTGAAAAAATAGATGTAATAGATGTAGAGGGTTATGTAAGACCTTTAAAACTTAAACACTGCCACATCCCCAGTCTGTGTTTAGAACAATCAATCTGCACGAATTTTGCCAAGACTGTCCCTGTTCAGCAACAAAAACTGAACTCACTCCACCCTGTCCCTCTCGATATTGGCTTTATGTTAGGTGCAGCTGCAGGCTCTGGTTACACCCTCTCCACCCTCTCAATGTCCCGCTGCAGGATGGAGCAGACAGCTGTGAGAATCTGATAATATTCCTCGTGCACATTCTTCCATCCTTCAGTTAGGCCTTCGAAGGGTAAGCAGCTTCTACACTGAGACATCCAGAGCAAGAAATTCATCGCCATGTCCATCCGGAGGCTCAGGAACAACCCTAAAATACTGGGGGATGTCAATATGGTGACAGAGGAGCTGAAGAATCTTTATTACAAGAGGCTGCTGCCGATAGAAAAATACTACTCTTTCCATCACTTTCACTCTCCGAGCTATGAGGACGCAGATTTTGACAACAAGCCAATGGTGCTGGTGATGGGTCAGTACTCAACAGGAAAGACCACTTTTATCAGGTAAGATTCTGGTCTTCCACACTTCATGCATTTAAGAAAAAAACTGTGGGCGTCTTGTGTGTGTGTATGTACTAAACATTGTGTTGGAGGAAAGAATGATGAGAGTGGTGGTTTGCGTATTGGTTGTCTTCAGGTATCTCATAGAACAGGATTTTCCTGGTAGCAGAGTTGGGCCAGAGCCAACCACTGACTGCTTCAGTGCCCTCATGTATGGAGAGACAGAGGGAATCATCCCTGGGAATGCCCTCACAGTGGATCCAAAAAAGCCCTTTCGCAACCTCGACCCTTTTGGAAATTCTTTTCTGAACAGGTAACTCAACAGAAAAAAAGGAAACGGACTTAGAGAGGTGATGGGAAAGCGAGACAGAGAAATAGTGGATTTTAAAATTTAAATAGTATCTTTGAGAAGTTATTATTTGATTCTTTTTTTCTCTCTTTTCTGAAAGTTCCCACCCATGTTCATCTTTCATAATCATAGAAATAGCTACTGATACAAACTTAGTGATGCTTTGCCAATATTCATTCGTGGAAAGAATTGTGTACTATGTTGAATGGATTGTTTTTTTCAATGCAGGTTTCAGTGTGCTCAGATGCCAAATCAGGTCCTTGAAAGCATCAGCATTATCGACACACCGGGCATCTTAACCGCTGCTAAAAGAAAACTGAGTCGAGGTGAGAAAGAATACCTCTCTGATTTCTTTTTCATTGTCAGAAGGAATAAATGGGTCTTTACATCCGTATATTCAGTTTTAAACAGTTAAAGTTGAACAGCATTGTTGCTGTCAGGAGGATTTAAATTCCTGGGAGAGTATAGAGTCATAGTAGATGTAATAAAATAAGAACATTTCTGCCCAACATAATTCAAACACTTGAAGTCAGAAGCACAGCACATGAAAGTAATTTGACAGTGAAGTTGGGAGGAGACGAACAGTGAGGAACTGAGCAGTCTTCGCTTTGTTTTATGGACGCATTAATCTATGGGTGTAACTGAAATGGCTTGAAACCAGTAAGGGCCACTGGGATATGTTACGTTTCCCTACATCTCGAGGCACTGAGGCTTGCCCCATTAGAGACAGTGTTAATGAAAACCCTGTGTTTTTGTTGCTTATCCCCAGGCTATGACTTCCCAGCAGTGCTGCGGTGGTTCGCAGAGCGTGTGGATCGAATCATCCTGCTGTTTGATGCACATAAACTGGAGTTTTCTGATGAGCTCACACGGGCGTTTGGGGCCCTGAGTGGCTATGAGGACAAGTTGCGTGTGGTTCTCAACAAGGCTGACAGAGTGGACTCACAGCAGCTCATGAGAGTGTACGGCGCCCTCATGTGGTCACTGGGGAAAGTGTTTCGAACCCCCGAGATCCTGCGGGTTTACATCGGATCTTTCTGGTCAGAGCCGAGGCAGGTCTGTGACCACTACCAACTGATAGAGCTTGAGGAGGAGGATCTTTTAGCCGACATACGGAACCTGCCGCGCAATGCTGCAGTGCGCAAGCTGAATGACCTGGTGAAGAGGGCACGCTTAGTAAGGGTAAGAAATCCTATATAACCCATGCTAAAATATCTACAAACCCAGCTGCAGTTATGGTGATCTTGTGTCTCATTTGAGCTTTGTTCCATTCCTAGGCTCATGCACACATTATCAGCTATCTTAAGCAGGAGATGCCAACCATTTTTTGCAAAGAGAGCAAAAAGCACAATCTGATTTACCAGCTGCCTGTGATTTTCACCAAGATCCAGCAACAGCATCGAGTCCCAGCTGGTGACTTCCCAGACTGCACCAAGATGCAGGTCAAACACTACTTTCTAATTGTTATATAAATACCATATTTTTAAAATTTATTTACATAAATGTATCTTGTGAGTCTAACATGTAATTGTATACATTTCCAGGAGAAACTTCTGGGTCAAGATTTCTCAAAGTTCAAGACACTGAAACCAAGTCTAATGGCTTCCTTGGATAAACTCCTGACCACCGACATAGCAAACCTGGTGCCTTTACTTCAACAACAGGAAGTGAGGAAGAAATCCCTCCCTGGTGTGTTGGACGGGGACTTTTTGGGAACGTTTAGGCCCGAGCATTACAGGAGAGATCCTTTCAAGGAACTCCCCAGAGACGACGAGAGCAGTGAGGCAGATTTTGATGACTGGGTCGTGGAGAAATACAAGCCGAAATACGATGAGATTTTCTACAACCTCAGTCCAAATGAAGGCAAACTCAGCGGCACCAAAGTCAAAGAGTGGATGACGACCACGCTTCTGCCTAACTCTGTGCTTGCTCATATCTGGAGGCTGTCTGATGTAGATGGCGATGGTATGTTGGACAATGAGGAGTTTGCTTTAGCAGTGCACCTTATTGAGGGAAAACTGGAGGGCCACTGGCTGCCCCGAGAGCTGCCCTCTCACCTGGTGCCACCGTCAAAACGGTTAAGTACAGCCAGTGATGATGAGTAAACATGACATGACTGAGGATATGTCATAATTACATGTAAAATTTGTGCATAAATTTCTATATATAATCAAATCTGTTGAAAGCGGGTTGATATTTAAAAAGAAGTGGACAATGCAATGTTAATCATCATGACACCAAAACACTATGATTGATGGTTTTGATCAGTGCAATTGCAAAGATTTCATATTACATTTTCACCTCACATTTCACTTCTGTATTCTTCAGTAATGTTAATCTTCATTGGGGCAGAATTCTCCTTTAGGTTATATATTTGTTTTTGTTTTCTCTCATATAATAATAATGTAATTCTTATTAATGACATTAAACCTGTGAAGATGACTAGCCAGTATTATTTCATTGTTTGTGATAGCATCATCATCACCTTGGTGTATAAGGTCAGGTTGGTACTCACGCAGGTGGCAGTAACGACCATATAATCCTGGGGAGCACAGGCAGGCTCCATACAGACGATGGCAGTGTCCATTGTTGGGGCAGTTACACTTCCTTCTACAGTGCCTTCCGAAATAACCTCTTGGACAACCTGTGAGCACAAACGCCAGAAAAGTTACACCTTTGGGCAACATACCTGCTTCTGTAAAATGAGCTCCACTCCACGAAGCTAAATTCAATTAAAAAATTGGACACAAGGTCAGTTTGTAGGACAACATCTTTAAAGGATTTAAGGATAAATCACATACACATACATATAGACATTACAAACAGTCTACGAGCGGAGAGGACAGGAGCCTTTCATGGAAGTAAAAGCAAAAAAAAAAAGCAAAACAATCATCATATTTTTGCAAATAAAGTATCTCTGCATCCAAAAAAACAGCGCTTCTTGGAGGTTTGCGCCTGCGTATTGAGGATAATCCTTGGATTTTCGACAGGTGGATGCGCGGTTATGCTACACTACTGGTCTGAGATCAGTTTTGATACTGCAGCATTATACGCATGCGCACACGTGTGTGGAAACTAAATTTGCGCGTTAAGCATGAAGAGGCAGCTGTAACAAGTAAACAAACAAATTGCGCTGATTCATCATCTCTGTGAAAGACCCGCTGCAAGTTTGAGAAGTTCTAGACAGAATATCATTACACAGGTAGCGCAGCTCCTTTCACAGTTCAGAGTTAGCTAGTTAGTTAGCAGTTAGCAGTACAGCTGTGAACGTACAGTGCGATGCATGTATGTATGTGCACTGTAGGCTGTTTTTCAGTAAATAAATGCTACAACTCCTCAAGACCCAAGTTTCCGGGTCTCCCCAGTGCTTCCCAACTACAGTCCGGACTATGAAGGAAGGTTGACAACACTGAAGCAGGTAAATGCAGGATTCTGCAATGTCACTGGAGTGTGTCATTGTACCATAGAAGTGACCATTTTGCTCCATACTGTACATTTGATAGGTTTAATGTCAGTTCAGTAAAAAAAATCTTAATATTTTTTTCAGCCAGGAAGGAGAAAGGTGAAGATGTCCAGGCAGAGTGCAGCAAGATGCAGAGAGCGTTTCAGCACAAGGAAGACAGCCAGCACAAATCATGACACAGGAATGGCCCTGCATTTAAGATAGATTTGCTGCTACTGCTGACATGAAAAGGTAAGTTTTAGTCTGATACATATTTTTGATGTGTAGTAAACAGCTGTGAAATAATGTAGTTAAATCCTATCAGGCCTTTAAAATCATTCAAATGAAACAATATCAGATGGGAATTACACTGCAGAAATTACTGATGCACAGCCTATGCTTGGATCGCAAGTAGATTTTGAGTCTTTTCAAAGGGTCATAAGCAAAAACAGTTTGGAACCACAGACCTAAGGCCTGGTTGTTCTATTTACACCCATGTGTGTGAATGTTGTGTAGAGGAAAGAGTGTATACAAACCAACCATTCTCACAGAGCAGGCCCTCTACCCCTGGGGGGCACAAACACTTCCCAGTCACAGGGTCACACGAGCCTCCATTCTGACAACGGCACAGACTGTTACAGGCCTGCCCATAGGTCCCCTGTGGACAAGCTGGAGAGAGAGAGAGGAGGCAGGGTGCATGGGAAAGGAGCGCTGACACCTTAATATCAGTATTACTAATTGGATCAAATTGTGGGAAATTCAAGGTCTATGCACTGGTGGTAAGAAGTCAGTCAACACTTCCACCTTCCATCCTGTCTTTCCCCATGGTGTGTGCCCTCGTGACACGCTTAATCTCTCTGGCCTTGTTAGCAATTACAACATGAACCATCTGGCTGTTTAAGATGTGCTAGAGTGTTACAATCCATCAAGTGAATGTCTGCTTAAATTCCACGTCACACTTTCTTCCCAGCAGTTTTATGTCTCTCCATGGGAAGATAAACTACTTTAAAATAATATATGGAGGTAACAGCATTATAATAATATAAAAAAAAAACACTGAAAATACATTATGATGAATATGAAAGGAATGAAAGAGCAGAAAAGGTTTAGTCTAACAAGTATAAGTGATCAATGTTTTCTCAACACAAACCTCTTTCATACATATGATTAAGTGGTGCTATCATTCGTGCCAGATGTGATGTGTACATGTGGAAATGCAACCAAAGTAAAAGAACAGCTCATTACAGTGGAGTTATGATTCTGCATTGATTCTGCTTCATGATAATGGAATTGATACTGACGTGTTTGTTAAGGCATGTTGAGGCATGATTGGGCAACATGCAAAACACACAGCTGTTTAAATGTGATGAGAGAGCCTCTAAATTTTACCAATGGAATGGTAAAATTTTAAACCAGATGATGGTCTGTAAATGTACTCACTTTGTACTTACTACTCACAACTCAAAAAGTAGTTTACCTATGTTGCCATGTTAGAGAAATTTTTTTAAAGAGATTTTTTATTTTCTAACTGAGATGTGGACTGTACAAAAGGGGTTGAAGCACAACATTCTGTGATTCTAGTATGATACCATATTCTGCTCATTCAGTACATGATCTTTTAGTGTAAATTAATTCATTATATTTCTTACAGCTATAACTTCATGGAATAAGATAAGGAAGTGACATCAATCCAGTCATATCTGACAAAGTGTTGAAAAATTGTATTTATTTTATGTTTAAAGGCCAAAGGAGGTTCAAAATCATCACCATCTTTTGACCAGCCTTTGTTCTTTATAGACCGCTATGTTATTACCTACTGTAACAATTCCCATATCTTTGCTTCAGGCTATAACTTAGGACATCTACCCCACCTGAAAATGCTACCCATGTCCAGACCCATCACCTTCAGGGAGTGCATCTGAATACAGCCACCTAAGGTGCGTGTTTCTAAAAGTGACAGATTGCTTCTAAGGGACTTACAGTATCCCACGTGGCTCTCTTCTTATGATTACCAGCCTGACTCGGGTTCAGACCGAAGACAGCCATTAATCATGGAGCTGGATGGTAACAATGGAGCCCTGCTTTCTAACCAAGTAGTGGACATCCTTGGCCTCAGGCTGTGCTCTTGCTGTGGGGCCCTGGCCTCACTCCAGTAGCAGACAGATTGATTCCCCCGGTGCTCTTGTGTTCAGGAGCCCATAAACAACCCAGCCTCCCACGCAGAGGAGCCGACAGGTTTTGATACATGGCCCTGGATCCATGCGCACTGGGAGCTATCTCATCTCTCTCTATAACTAGACCCCATTACTATGGGTAGCTCAAATAGACCTAGAAGAGGATGCGTCCTTTGGGAAAAAAGTATGTGTGTGTACTGTACTGTTAAAATTATCTACTTATCATGTGTGTGTAGGATATATATATATATATATATATATATGATCTGGGGATTTCCCATCCATGCACATATCTTAGCCAGAGAGTCATTTATTTTTTACGCTCTACAAATTTAAATCTTCAGGTCTGTGAACTTTTAAAGTTAAAAACAGTTAAAAACTGCAGCATGTTAAATAGTCAGATTTAGAGGTTTTACAATTTTCTTACCTTTGGACAGAGCCAGGCTGGTTGTTTCCCCCTGTTTCCAGACTTTATGCTAAGCTAAGCTAACTGGCTGTGGGCTGTACCTTAATATTTAACAGACAGGATATGAGAGTGGTATCAATCTTCACATCTTATCCTTGGCAAAACGGTGAATAAGTGTATTTCCCCAAAAGGTCAAACTGTTGCTTTGAGACCGTCCTCAAATAAAAAACAAACCCATAGGTCGTTGGTGCAAGCAGCTTATTGTGACCCATAGTTATGTTTTACCGTTAAACAACATGTAGTGGTTGCATCTTTTCAACAAACACCTTTCTTCCTTTTAGTGACCATAGGAACTGTGACGTTGTTATACAGCAATGAAGTGCATGTACAGAGGAGGTGTGGGTGGATGGATGGAGTTAAACACACGAGGCTGCTGTTCATTCCCCGTTTCATCTTTTAACCATGATTATTACTTACATGTACTTATTTTAACCTGAACCGCCTTCTCTAAACCTAAACAAGTTATTCTTGTGCCTAAACCTAGCCCACCTTTATCGTAGCATTATCACAAGATAAAAGGGTTAGTTGTTTATTTTTTAATCGTGATTTTTAGAGGTTTATCTGTGGCATATCTCCTGCCGCCACACTCCTATTCCTCATATTAGAGGTGGGAAAACGACCTATGTGGTCGTTTAGGCTGGAGGACATGTTGATTCCCTTACATAGTCACAGGACATCCTGGGGGAAAATATATCTATAAGGAAGTAATATCAGTATACTTTTACAGTTTTTCACTATACAAGAAAAACATTCAAGCATTTTGAGGAGAGTGGTGAAGGTGCGGTCATGTAGAGTTGAGCCCGCTGTAGCTCTTGTCAAGAATTTGTGTTGCAATGAAAAGATGTAACACACGATGCACAGAATGTCCAATAAACTACACTTACTCTTGTTGCAGATGATACCAGTCCATCCAGGTGAACAGTGACATCGCTCTCTGTTTTCACTACACACTCCGTTCACACAGTCTTCACAGCTCACACTGCAGTCATCCCCAAATGAGCCATCCAGACACACTGAAAAAGAACAGAAAATAAGTTTCTTTTCCTTTCAGAACTTCCTGGTCTGAAGATTTAACAGAAAAACAACAAAATGATATCCATTGGCTTTCTCAACATGCATGCATCTTAGTCTCATCACTTGCACTTTTTACTGTACCTATGTGGCTGTCCAGCCTAAGTTCTCCCCTGCGGTCTCTCTGGATCTCAAATTCTTTTTCATTGTCACCACCATCACTACCATCATCATCGTCACCGTCATAACGGGCGTGCAAGGCTGCCGTGTACTGCAGCAGCTGAGGAGCCCGACGGAATAACAGGTCTGGTAATCTGTGGACTTCCAGCTGCTCCTCGTCTTCTTCCTCATCCTCCTCTTCTTCTTCCAGTTCTCTGCCATACAGAGCTAAATGCACCCAGTACAAGTTTAGGGTTGTGATAAAATGTAATCCTTTTGAAACTGCAATTTACCTTATGTCTGTATGCAGTGACATTAAATAAAGATATAGCTGTGCTACCCAGGAATAACTAAAACACAAATGTTACTCACAGATGCAGGAGTGCTGGTCCTGATCCAAGCGGAAGCCCAGTCGACAAAAACACTCATATGTTCCCAGGGTGTTAACACAGTAGTGTTCACAGCCTGAGGTCTCTGATAGGCACTCGTCAATGTCTAACAGAAGAAGAAACATCACACAGTTACGAGAGCAACAGGGTAATAATAGCACAACTCAAGTGTAAACATTGTCTCTGGATGCAGGTTGCATACAATCGTTTTTTTTACTGGTGATGCTTATGTTTAATGGAAGACAGGTTGTGAAGGTCAAGCTCAGGTCGGCCTTGTAGTTTGTCTCCAGCCAGAGGAAGATGTGACTGTTGTTTCACTACAGAGAACTCACCTGGCAGTTTCTCTTGTAATAAGTTTGCTCCTCAGTGAGGAAAATGTTCTGTTTCTAGCTTTCTGCTCTGAAATGGTTTTTCTGAGCAATCAGTTAGGTAATGTGCTTTGGGAATTTGTGTCCTGCACAGCTTTGCCAAAACATAGAAAACACTTACAGTAAAAAGTACCAGACTAGGTAATCTGCTAACAATCCAAAACTCTTACCATCACAGCCACAGCCGTCTGGGTTTAGTCTGTGGCCAGCTCTGCAGCTGCACTCGTAGCCGCCCGGGTAGTTTCTGCAGAAGTGACTACAGCAGGAATCCCCGCTGATACATTCATCACTATCTGAGTAAAGCACACAGCGGTACAGGGTTGGTTTCAACACAAGGGCAGAAAGAAAGAAGCTGAAAGTTGGAAAGTGAAGGAAAATAAAAGAAGAGTGAAAGAAAAGGAATTTAAAAAAAAAAAAAAAAAGATGGAGAACTAGACTCAGATGAAGAAAACGACTCAGACAGAAATTCTTACCTACACAGGTCTTCCTGTCTCGGTCCAGCTGGTAGCCGTGGTTGCAGGAGCAGAGAGGGCCGTTTGTGGTGTGCTCACAATGATGGGAGCAACCGCCGTTGTTCTTCTCACAGCTGTTGACGATCTCCATCTCAATGCCTGAAGAAGAGAGGACCAAAACCACAACTACAGTGCTGAAATATAAGGACAATGTTGTGGGGCATTTCTGGCTAATGAGGACTGTTTTGGTTTGTCCCAATCTGGTAATTACTAGCTACAGATGCTAAGAGGAAAAAATAAAAAATATTCAGCACAGATATAATGCACATTGCCATGGAAATAGAAAGGTTCAGTTTTTTGAGAAATTTGTCTTTACTTACGGTAACACTGTTTGCCATCTGCACCAAGTTCAAAGCCTGGATGACACACACAGCTGAAGGAGCCCAGCATGTTGACACATCCATGGGAACACTTGGCATGGCCTGAACTGCACTCATCAATATCTATAGGTGATAGGTAATAGAAGACACAGACATGCATGTTTACACACCAGTACAGATAGATAGATAGATAGATAGATAGATAGATAGATAGATAGATAGATAGATAGATAGATAGATAGATAGATAACATTCACATGAGCATTATAAGTCATAGCAAAGAATTTATATGAAAGATTTATCTGTTTACAAAGTTGCAAAACACAAGAACAACAGGTCATATTGAGCCATATCCAAAGTTCAGAGCTTTTCAGAGGTCATGATACTGATGTATGTGTTCTTGTCCTACAATCTTTGACTAGAATTAAGTAACCTGACCCTTAAAGCTGAATCACAATTTACTCTTAGGACCAGAAGGACACACACACACACACTCCAACACTAACACACAGAGTTACAAATGTTAAGGGTTTCACGGGGGTTTAGGTAGCAGGGGCTCGAAGGGGCCGAGATAAAGAGAAACTTGTAATTAACGATGCCTTTGGTTGGAGCTGGATTTCTGACACTAGAGGTAAATGAACCAAACACATACTGTCACACAATGTTGCTTCCATATGGTCATAAAAAAATCTGGATGTGTAGCAAATACTTCCTCAGGCAGGAAGGCTTTGTCAGGGTTCACATTACGCTGGTTTCACCTCTCCTCCATAGGTGGAGCAGAAGAAATGTTAATGTGAGTAATGTTCAACATTAGCCTCTCAAATCAGCACAGGTCTGTTGTAACTTATGGAAAAATCATAAATGCCATTTTTTTAGACTGTAGCACACTCCAGCCTGTTTGATATATCCGCTCTCTATTTTTTTCACTGTTTATATACTGTGTGTGTGTGTGTGTGTGTGTGTGTGTGTGTGTGTGTGTGTGTGTGTGTGTGTGTGTGTGTGTGTGTGTGTGTGTGTGTGTGTGTGTGTGTGTTTGATTCCTTACCTTCACAGTTCTTGGCATCTCCAGCCAGTGTAAAACCAGGTCGGCAGCTGCACTGAACCCGGCCATCTTCCCAACGACACAGCTGGGCGCAGCCTCCATTCCTCTCATCACAGGGGTCCCTCACTGACACAGACACACACAGACACACACACATACAAAAGCCAGGTCAACCCAGCAGGCAACTCTCTGACCCTACCGGTTAGTTCATGGGGACAGTTTTGATTTTTAATACCAGATTAACATCTTAATTGCAACTTCTTACAGGGTTTCCCCATTCTGTGTGAGTCTGGTTATGATATCTGATCCCTCATGAAACTAAGAAATAGATTTTAAAATCCAGGAGGACAAATCTGATTTCCAACTCTTTACTGTACAGTGACTGTTTCCAAAGCTGCTTCCCACATTCCTTTCCTCTTTACATTTTCCTACCTTGCACACCAGCAGCAGCCACATAAGTTTCTTAATTGTGCTGTGATTTGGTCATATTCATGCATGATGAGAACATCTGTTGGAAAAATGACTTACATTCACAGTGTCTTCCATCTCTCTTCAGCTGGTAGTTCTTTCGACACTCACATTTGTAGTGATTGTTCCCCATGTCCACACACTTGTGCTCACATCCACCGTTCAATACTGAGCAAGAAGTCACAGCTTAAAGGTAAAGCAGAGACGCAATTTAAAATTTGAACTCGCCAAGGACGACATATAATTGAATTTGTTGGCAACCTAAAATGGCTTTAACACCTCAGACTCTGAAGCTGTGTAATTATGGAAAACACTTGGGTAAAGGCTGCCAACTGGAAAATCACATTCAGGCTGGGTCCAGTGGGTACCCCTGGTTACTTTCTAATGATCTTTCCATCCCATTTCTCCTGTGATTTAATGATGTGCCAAATATGAATATCAGGCGTGTGCCTTCTGGGTGCTCTAAACACAGACATGATGACACAGAAGGGCTGTAAAACTGAGAGACTGACTGGCTTTTAACATTGATGACTTCAACAGACACAATTAGCTACCCCTCTGACTCCATCTCTGTCCTTTGCCACAAAGCTACAGCTGGCAAATTACTGAGTATTAGAGAGAGAGAGGGATAAGACCAAAGGAATTAGAGGAGCACTGATTTTCAGCAAGTAACAATTTCTCTCATTACCTGCAGGTTTTATGGTGCTAAAATGGGGGGAAAGTACTTTACCACATTATATTGCTCCCTGTACCTCATGTCAGAATTTCCCACTAGACGCTGTAATCAATGAAGCTCAGCACTACTATTCTTGTCAGTGTTATTGGATCCATCCAAATACAGATTTGGGGACATTCTTCCATATGTTCTCTCATACTGGACATGGCCACTTTGGAAACAAACCACAAGGTGTGAATGAGTAGACAACATGGACCAGATGTCCACTCCCTATGTGAGCAGGCCATTAACCATTTTCACACATCAGAGTATGTGAGAAAAACTCAAGTGCTCACTGTGAAACCTGGAAGCTGTATTAGTACATTAATATTGAAATCTTTGTATGTGGAAGGGCCGTAAAGATTTGAGTTGTATGCATTGTTATGCAAAACCATGGAGACGTAATAGAATACAAAATAACATTAATGATATTTTTTATTCATACTATATGTTGGATTTGATTTCTAGTTATGTTTAAATGATTTGTTTGACATTTTGAAAAATATGCCTATTTGCTGTCTTGCTGAGAGTTAGATGAGACTATTGATACCACTCATCTTGTTTGTTTGTTTTTTAATTAGTACAAAAACTAAGTGTAAGAATAGACAATTTGCTATTTCAATTTGCCATGAGGTTGCCAGGCAACCAGCAGGGAGCAATTAGCTCTAACCACAGAAGCCTAATTTTTCCATCTGCGCTTTATCTGTCATTCCCCTACGTCACTGAGGGAACATTTGGAACAATCCTACAAGATTAATGTGGGGAGGAAGAAAGAGAAATTGGTTACCACAGATATAATAAATGTTTCTGTTTACTACTTACCAATGCAGGTCCGGCCATCAGTGTGCATGCGGAAGCCTTCACTACACTCACAGCGATAAGAGCCCGGTATGTTGACACACGTTTGCTGGCATCCTCCATTGAGCTCCTCACATTCATTTACATCTGAACAAACATATTATAGTACATAAAGGATACATATAAACATACCTAACTATGCATAGTCAAATGCTCATTTAAAAAAGAACTGCTCACTCAGAACAGAATATAGTCACAAACCACAAGACTGCACAATAACCTACACCAATCAGGAGTCATTAAACATCAGACTTGTTAGGAATGTCAGTCTAGCTGTGTCAAAGATTTAACTTGCTCGCATGCCAGTCATGAACATGGCATAATTGGAAGCCCATTGAAATGGCCTCTCGCCTTGAGTCATCTTTTGTGTTAAAAATTGGAGCTTTGCTGAGGAATGACAGATTGAAAACTCTGGTCAGTTGTGGGAAAATAACACTCAAATGAATGGAAGCTTAAATTGAGCTGCATTTCAGAAACAAGACATTTATTACATCCTTTATAAAATCTCACATCCAACTTTGCGGCGGTCTAATTGAACATTCCATCTGCTGTGAGCCAAATGAAAGTAAATGAAAAACACATTTTGAGTATTACAGATTAAGGCTGAGAGTTGTAATTGCATAATTTTGATCAGATCTCAAATTTCTTCCCTGTTTTACCTTTTTTAGACATGTACTTTTGAGGAATACATGTGCAGTTACATTGTCATGGTTAAGCCTCACTATCATCACTCCCAATTATTTAGTAAAGAAGGAAAATACAACAAGTTTGTATTGTAAAGTTTCTATGCATTCCTTCCAATGGCGGCCAATGTGTGAATGTGCCTTTGACACTGAATCCAGACTTGCTTCAGAAGAATACTTTCATACCACACTGACCCTGTGCTCTGATTCCTCTAGGAAATAATATACATGTGTAATGTCTTCGGAGTAATGATGAATGGCTTATCACGCTGTTGTGCAGTTGTATGTGTGCAATCAATTTGTTTCCTGCACAGGAGACAGTTCCTCTGCACAGGATCCATATGTTTGCACATGTGTCAAATTGAAGCACATGCTCCACGGAGACAGAAGCAAGTTGATAAGAATACCTGAACACTCCATTCAAGGACAATCAGATTTTATTTTTTACACATCTGGACAACACATCACACATCCTCCTAACCTCCTCCCTGTTGTCATCTCTGACTCACAGAGGCTTTTTCAGCTCGCACCAGTGATGACAGATTAGATGTGTGAGGGGAGGGCAAAGCAGTGCTGCAGTTTCTTATTCTGAACATGTGGTTCAGTTTATTTGAGCATGCAAGACTACCATCATTTAGGTTCCTCAGGGGTCAAAGCACTTCCCAAGTAGTGCAAATATTAGAAATCATTTTCAGGTAGTTCGCTTGCATATGTGTGTTCATGTGTGCAGCCTATTCTTTCTCTGAACTCTCAGCTCTCTAGCAGACCCATGGGAACAGCCCTCTTCAAGATGATCTCAGGACTATTTTAATTAGTTTGTGTCCATTAACGGGGGAGGGGGGCTTTCCCTGGTAAAGAATCCTTTTCATACCCTGCTCATAGATTAGTGCGATCAGGTTAAAGGAATTCATATCAATTTGTTCAGTTTATTTAGACAATCACAACCACCAATGATGAATTACATATTCATGAGCAGTTCTGTCATTCTGGGCTCTTTTGTACGTTAACACATTGGCAGCTATTGTAGAGGATCCCTAACATACAAAACAACAGACGCAAAGGGGAGGTTTTTCAAGGTTAATATACTTATTGCTCCCCTCATGTGAGAGGATTTCAATGGGAGACACACAATGGCTTCTTTTCACCGGTGGGTGAGGTGGTATGTGTGGAAACGGGCGGGAGTGGTGGTGGTGGTGTCGGAGGTCGCGGGGCCATGAGTTCTGAATGGTATCGCGTGACACCGTCTGGCTCTAAGCGGAGCTGCTGAGTTAGCATCTACAATAAGACAAAGTAGCAGATGAAACATTTGGGGGCTCGGCTTTGGTGGAAGAAAGAAATGAACAGATGGTCTTCAGAAGGAGCGCAACAGGATCTGAATTTACTAAAAAACAAAACAGAATCTCAGGCCCTGTTGTGACAGCAAAAATATAAATGTGTGTATATATTCTTTGATAATTTATCCCTAAACTAAAGTTAAAAAAAAAAACACCAGTGTGGTCTCAGTTCTCAGTTTCCATAATGCAATACTGGCTTTAAAAGTTACCCAACAGAAACACATTTGAAAATCCACTCTTCCACTGTTTTTTTTCTGCTACAGCTCAAATTCAAACATTGTCGTTCATTGTCTTTTCCCATAAATACGACCACACATACAATTCACTGAAAATCCTGTAAAAGAAGAACAGCTGCCGATGCTTCCGTTTGTCTTCTCCTCTGGTAACCTCTCAGACTTTAAATTATTACAGAGTGACAATATCCTGCCTGAAAGGTTAAAGGTCAGGGGCAAGTGTTCACACCTGTAGCTCTAAGGAACAAATGGTGCACAGCACTAACTCAGCATATTTCTGTCAGATGAGACTGACAAACTGAGAAAGCATGCTGTCTGAGAAGGTTATTAGAAAGCTGTGCTTGCCTGTGTGGCTGGTTCAGCCCTTTACAGCCTGAAGTCTAGACAGTTAAGTAGGTCCTCAGTAGGTCAGCATAGGCCAGTGAATTTAAACTGAATGACCTAGACTCGCTGCAAAATCATCAAGGCCATTGAATTACTTCAGATGGCTGGTCTTATCCACACACATTCACTTATATGTATGTATCTGGAGTATAGATGGCAACCATCAAACCAATGTTATTACTCTTTGGTAAATTTGGCATGCCAGTTTTATGGTGTCAAAAAATTAATTAAAGGTACCCCTGTAGGGCTTTTGAACAATAGTGGCACAATGGCAAAACAATGTTTTTTTTTTAATGAGTGGTTCCCCATATTGTTTAAGGGAGACTCTCGATTAACCACTATGACCTGTAAGTCATGTGACTGATGGAAATACAGAAGGCGTCAGTACGTCTCTTTTCAGTAGCACTGCCAGCTTGTCTATGGTGAAGTGGCACATAACACAACCGTCAGCCACAGTAGAGCAAAGGGAAAACTGTGGTAAAATTTGTTAAACAAGTGCACAGCAACAGGGGTGATGTGATGCATATTTCTACCGAAGGCAGAAGAAGACCAAAGTAAATAATGCATGTTTCAGTGCACTTAAAAAAGCTTAGCAAATGTTTTATGAGGTAGAAAATGCATTCATGATGTTTGAAGGCTTTAAGGCTACGCTCAGTGCATTTTAGTGAAGACCATATTTGTTCATAATGAAAACTTCACTTTAACTTCACAGTTTACCTCATTATTCAGTGTACCTATGACTAAAGAGTGGACCACCACTGCAGGGAGGAGATGTTTGAGGGGAACAGGATATTTCTATTTCATCCCTGCAAAAATGGATTAAGCATTCCATAATAAATCAGGTACAAAACATTGATTCAAATACATTAACTGAAAAAAATTAAGAATCGTCAATCTAATAATCTCCCATTACTGAAATTGTGAAATTGGAAAATGGGGCTGCACTTCCCTTTCTAGTGGAAACAGTCCTACACTTGCCACCCTTGCACTATATTAATGGTGAGCCCATTAAAAGGGCCCCTGTGGACTATTCTTGTAAACAAACAAAAGTTGTTTGTTACTCAAAACCTGTTATGTGTATTCTGAGGTCTAGCAAACCAATAAATAAATGCAATTCGTTTCTCATTAAACATTTCCAAACCCCATTTTTATGTAATCCTGCATTGCTTACACCGACATTAACTACCTTGCAGTCTTGTTTTCCCTGCCTTTAGTGGCACATTGCTGCATCACCGCCACCTGTACATCAGTAGAATAGTGTGACACCATTGGTACGAATATGTATTGCATCCCCTGCTTGCAAGTGCTCTATAGCGCTGGCAGGGGTTAAAAAGCTCACAGAGCACCTTTAAGGTACGCTATAGTGTGCTTTACACTGGATATTTTGTGCTGGTTTGGAAACACAACAGGCATCTTCAAAATCAAATAAATTCATTCATGCTCTACATTGGAAAAAAAAAAAAAATCTTCCATTCACAAAAAAGTACAGGAAGCCCCAGCTGGGCAGAGAGCCTGCTACAGTCTGTCTGTGTTTGTGCACGCTAGCTACATCCAGATGTCCATCTTACCGTGACATGCTTTGCCATCTGGCCCCAGTCTACTGCCTTCAGGACACTTGCAGTAGTAGCTGCCAATGGTGTTGCAACAGTACCCCTCACAGCCGCCGTCATCCACTTCACATTCGTTAACATCTGAAAGAAAAGGATTAGAAGGCCAGTTTTAATAACAGAATGCTCAGTCCACAAAACGCTGCAGCTAAATCAGTTGTGAGGACAGAGAGGTTTCTTCTCGCCTTTCAGCTAACCTTTCCCGCTCTTTGCAGGGTTCCTTCCTGTTTTCTTTAGTTTTTTCCCTTTTCAGCAGAAACGAAGGCAACAAAACCTTTACCGAGTTTATTTTCCATCATCACTGTGTAGATCATGACCGTGCTGACTCTCAAGGTAATCTCATGCTTTGATGTCAGAGTTAAAAACCAACTGTTGTTAGTTAGTCTGTTGCCAATCTTTCAGGACCAGTGCACTCCTGGAGGCAAATAAAAAGAGCAGGAGAATCTATAACTTGTTATAGCCATATGATAACCCACATGTTGCAGCTCACTAATGTAGATGATACTGAGAGACAGAATTATTTATATCTAGACCAGGAATAGAAAACATCTGATTTCCTTGTCACTTCATAAAACATATGCCAGGACATAAACACTGTAATTAGTGTGTATTTATATCTAATCAGCTATTTTCAAATAAGTCTTATGTTAACCCACTCTGTAGAGCATAAGAACTTTTTTCATGGTCCTCCCATATTTCCCATGTTCTTTTCTGCCTCTGGGGGTGAAATGGTTTCCAGGTTGGTTCCTTGTTCTGCCCTTGGACTCCAGCAAAACACCTCAGCCTTCTTGCTCCAGTGCTATATAATGATCAGTTGTGCATCACCACCAAAGAATCCCTTTTAAAAACAAATTATCTCCTAGTATACAAGGAGAAGTAACAACAGCATAGTGCTAGTGTTATTTATTTATTTTTATATCAGATTGATCATTAGATAAAGAGATTTGACTAATATTGCTGTTGCGGAAACATTTAGCTTGCTGGTTAAATATTTGCACTACCTATATTCAAGTAAAAAGTAAAAACATTCAAAAGACAGAAAATATACTTGTAAAGAGTGTGATTTGTGACACAATGAAATAAGTGATAGAACTTAATATGAAACAATAGGCATGTTTCTATCATTATATGACACAGCCCTACTAATATTGTCCAAAGATTTAATGAACTTTATCCCTGTCCTTGTGTAAACTGATTGAACTGCTACTACTGCCACTCAAGTTCTAGTCCACGTGGCAGCAACACAGCCAGACGTTTCACAGATGATTCAGTGTTGAATGCTTGGTTTGGAAAAAGGAGAAGGTGACAGAGAAATGCATTTCACTTGCATGGACCCCCTGTCACAGAGAAAGACTAAAGTAACAGGGGAAAGGAAAAGATATCTAGTATTTTGTCCCCATCTGTTAAAAGATTTAATGGAATCCCTTAGCTGTGCATTGAGCAATAGTTTGTTTATCTATGAACAACAGGAAATTTCAGAAGCACAACTTGGAGAAACAATTTGGAAAGAGAGAAGACAGAAAGAGATGGGGTTAAGTAGAAACATACTTTACAGTAACAAGATGTTTGGCAACTTGTTTGTGTAGACACATGACAAGTCAAGGTCTGCCATTATAATCTTGGCTTGTCAAATGACTATGGCTCTTCTCTAATAAACAAGGAGGTGCATCTGATCATTACCAAGCTTTTAATTAAGGTTTTTAACATAGAATTCCCTAAATACCCTGGTTTTTAAGTATTTATGCAAATGTTTTTTTTTTGAACAATGTTTTTATTAATTTCCAATAAGAACATACAAAGCACATTGACATATGCCACACAAATTGCACAATGAGATGCAGGCGAACCTCGCTGCATACACATACATACAAAAAAAGATAGACACACTCACAAACAAACATACACGCGTAAAATAATAACAATAATAAATAAATAAAATAAAATAAAATTGTCACACACACAATAGCCCTATAGATAGATATAATCTATTGTTGCTTAAGAAAGTCCATTAAGGGTGCCCACACTTCTTCAAATTCTTGTACTTTACCCCTGATTACATAGGTTAGCTTTTCTAATGTAACATACATTGCCATCTCTCTAATCCAAGATTGTGTAGATGATACTTCAGTGTCTCTCCAAGACAAAGCAAC